GAAGTCATCGCCCTCACCATCAGTACTTGCTGGTCAGTAACTCCACCCTCGCTCCTTTTACGATGTTAGGCTCATTTAAGCTTAGTTTTGGATATATATCATACCTCACACAATCCTCTGTGTTTTACATCCTGTTGGAAAACACTATTTTTATAAGTACCATTTTACAAGCTTATCAGACAGTTACAAGCTATGGACTGTGGGTAAGGGATCGATGCAGTGCTTTTGTTGACTACAATATAAAGTATAGTTTGCCAATTACAGTATAAGCATTAAGAAGGGTATATTGTAGGATAGTTGTTTATTAAAGCAGGCCGAAAAGTATAGAAGTTTATGAGTCGTAGGTAAGGTAACGAGTGGAGAAATAATATTAATTGCTAGTCAACATTGTGTACAGAAGAGTAAAAAGCTAATAAAGAATAAACAGGAAGAAACTCACACTAACTTGGTGCTGATGTCATTTTGTGTTGTCCTAATCAGTTGGTGGGTAACAGGCTCCATAGATGCAAGACCACTGGTAGTAGACATCTAGACGTAAAACGAAATAGAACTATGTAGCTTCATATTGAACAGAATGTTAAACTAACCAGAATAAATAAGCAAAGTAATGGTTGTAAATACATAAATAAACTATTATACACCTTAAATTCGATGAAGATGAATGTATAGATGACGTTTTAATTGCTAGTCATGCTCATAGGAGTGAAACGACCTGTTGATAACTTCAATCCACCCATGTCTGTGGGGCAGAACATTTTGTTTAATTACGGCTCCTTATGGTTTAGTGGGATGTCACGGACTTATGGTATTGAAGCTGATTTATCACGCAAAATACCTCTTTAAATCGTGTTACGAACGTTGAATTGGTTTCACTTCCTACCCAGTAATCCTATTACAAGCAAACTAGACAATTCGCTAATATACGAAGCCTACTCAAGACCCTATAATACCTGAAAAAGAGTAATAATACAAAAAAACGAAAGGGGCTCTAATAGCCTCGATAATAAGAGGAAGACAGCCAATTGTATATCACAATACTGTTTCTAGCACTATATTTTATTTTATAATCACACATAATCCCATACTCTCAGCTCCTTTCCGAATCGCCTCCATTTGTCAGTTGTATGTCCACTCACACCTTGTTAACACTTATTTTCTTTAAACTATTAAAATGCTCTTTCTTAACAAATACCTTAATAAAAGAAAATTAGACTGAGTAATCATACCTTAAACATTCCTTCATGAATATTGGCTACTCTGCCCCTCGTGTTTTCTTTTACTTGCTCCCTTTTTCAGCCCCCTTGTGATATGGACCGAAAGATTTTATCCTGCACCATCCTTAGACATTCCAAAGGGACATAAGGTTGCGAAATTTAGAAGCTCCCACCTTCAATGGACCTATCCTTGACCATCAGTTGCACATTCGCAACGCAACTTTCGTGAAGCGCGCCAACTGTGATACTGATTAAAACCATCTACATTCATGTCTTATAAATTATCAACCCAGCTATGTAATTTAATACAGTGTATAATGTATCATTTGTATCAATTTGATCTTGCCTGTAAACTGGCATGCCTCATGTAACAAACTGTTATTTGAGAATAAATTATCATTATTATTATTATTACTATTATTATTATTACATTTATCGTATCCCGAGTCAGTGTTACTAACGGATCTTATTTAAGTACTACATTACATCTGCCGGCCCTCGTGGTAGAGCAAAGGGCGTCCACCAGCATTACCCGTGGAACTCTGTCCTGGGTAATCCTTCGTAGTCGTTTCCAGTTGCTATTCAACCTTTTCATATCTGCTTCCAATTGTTTTCCTAGTTTCCGCCCCATCTAGAAGCCGGTTTGTTCTCTCCCATAGTAGGATGTCGCTGATGGTGTCCGGCCGACGGACGTTGAGTACCTAACGTAGAAAATTATTTATAAATACTTGTACTTTTTCGACGATGGTTGTAGCGGTTTGTGGTGGTATTTATTACTGACCACACGACCTTTGAATCTGAACGTATAAATACTGAAAAGTTTTACATTCACCATGTTTGGCTCTCCTCCGTTGTTTATGCACGGCATGCTGATCTTCTTGTAACTTACGAACCTAAAGTTAACAATAGGTCCAAACTCCAAATCACGCAACGACGTTTATTCGCAAGTTACAAACAATCGACCTAAATATCGTTCTTATAATAACTATAATACTTACAAAACAAACCTTATATTTTTACGTCCCTGGAGCGAAAACTCGTAAATACCAAATCAATCACGAAGTGGACACAAAATGTCGCAGGATAAAGATATAAACAAAGAAGTTCAGAAGTTGTGTGAAACATAAGCATCTACAAATAGTGAAATTATTAAAACTCAACACAGCAGTTTATAAACAGTCAAATGTCTTCAGTTCTCAGCTCTTCCAGCATATTACTGATATAAGTAAATACTTACTACGCGCAGTACTGCGGTGCTCCAGTGCATCACATTTACTAAAGCTGAACTAAATTTCAGCGTCATCGTGTCTGTAAGCATTGCAGTTCACAGCTGACCTTGAATTGACTTTTTTTTCTTTTTTTCAAACTGCCCAAGGTATGGACGGTGTAGTAACTTGGTTATATTGCTTCACAAAGCGGTTGTTTATCTTTTCAACTAATTCTTATGAGTTGATTTTTTATATCCCATAGGGAGTTGAAAAAATGGTTGTTTCCTTGCAAGCTTTCTGTACAACGGTCCAGTTTGAGTATTAGCTTTATGGACCATACCACGGTTGGAAATGCACACAACGATCACGTAGTTATTTACTTCGTTTGCTGGCAGTTGCCCAATTCTGTTAAGATCACCTCTATGAGTGAATGATAGACAAAGGACATGTATAGACCGCCGTACTTCTTACACGCCCGAAACCCCAACATGTTCCTCATGAAAGATCTTGGTTGCATACTGCTGAGAAGTCTCATACGTGGACGAAACGGCTGTCCAGCGCTTCCAGGTCTTCACTGGGTGTCTAGCCTACATCGACTCACGGGTTCAACCATTGAAATATCGAGTTTAAATGAAAAAATTCGGATTCCAACAGCTTGTAGCGGTAAATAAATCCCCAAAATAAATAGCTCTGTAAGTTTTCGACATTGGATGCTGACCATATATTTTAGTGGACTCATCTAGCTGAAGGCGCTCGGTCAGGCATCCGCTCCAGATCACGTGTGTTAAGGCCGTGCTCAACATCAACCGCAATCGATAGCCAGAATAGATCAGAGAATTCCGATATATTGGTCATCGCCAAATATACTCTTCCGATCTCCTCGACTCTGTCTTTTGATTTCTCTGAGTGGGAACGAAATATATTAGAAGGTGTTACTGGTAGAAGCGTTGTCAAACACTGAATACCTGTGACATCATCAAGCTTATGAAGGTTCACATCCCCTGAGATCTATGTTTCTATGTAAGCTCAGCCAACAGAAGGGTTCATCACCCACATATGGTAGTAATGTTTTATAAGTCCGTGTAGTGATATGTCGTTAAAAACAGATAACTTTGAAAATATCACGGATATACAGAGCTTGAGAACACTTTAATCTGTAACCACCCCTGATGTAAGGACCCCAATGACGATCAAAACAGAAGAGATTGTACTGTGCCAAAATATTTTTGAATTCGAGATCAATCTACCGTATTCTACGGAATACAAGCTGACCAACTGCCACAGACTACATGGAATATCAAAACGTGATCTGGTATAGATCATACACAGGCCTCTTCAAGCTAGGAGCTTGTAATCAAGCTAATAAATTCAACACAAAATTTTTGGACTTGTAAAGTTGTTTCGATTGGATTGATTGTCTTCTCAATTTCATGCACTTGAAGATGCCACAGGTATTTGGAGTCCGACAACGCTTTAGCCAGTAACACCTATTATGAATCGTACCCAACAAGTGAAATCAAAAGACAGAAGCAGGGAGGTTCGAAGACATATTTGATAGGTAATCAATATATCGTGGATCGACTGGTCTAATCTGGCCAGCGAGTGCAGGGGATGTTGAGCACTGCGTTCCCACTAGTCATCTGGTGCGAATGCATGACCGAGAGCCTACAGCTAGGTGAGTCCATCAAAACTAATGCGGTCAGCATCCAATGTCGAAAACTTACAGAGCTATTTATTTTGGGGATTTATTTACGACTACACGCTACCATAAGTTAGTGAACTTGGCGATACACGAGGCGACGTGAAAAAGAGTAATTCGGTAAATAGGACCTACTCAAAACTATAATTTCGTTTCAGGTATTTCCGTGGAATATGAAAAGAGGCAATCACCGTAATGGATGTCTTTATTTGTTTATCTGACTGCTTCTTCTGATATTTATGTTCACTCACCTTGACTCTAAAGTTTTGGCGGCACTTGAAGTAACTCTGCAGTCATGTCGGTTAACGCTGCTAGCATGCTTACCCTCGGTGGAGAAAGGACGAGCGGCGAATCTGTTCGCAAACAAAATGGTTAGTTTCCTTATGTTTGTCTGGCATTAAAAGGTTTATTTTTTTATCAAGTTCTGCGACAATATTTTGCACAGATACTCTTTTGTATATGGCGGAAATAAAAACATTCAAAGGAATGAAAACCCCCGGTAATTAGTTACCTATGTTTAGAGCATACTGATGTTTTGAAGGAAGTGGTTAGCTTTTTCTAGGTATTTAAATAAATGCTCGTGTGATAACCAAAACTCTAGGTTCGTCATTGCTGCTATTAAAGGCGTGTGTTCCAAACATAAAGCTTGGTCAAAACGTTTGTATGATAATGCCTTTCAATATTTTGTCTCATGGTTAGCTTCATTCCCTTTATTGGCTCGCGGGTAATGGTAATTGAGCTGTGACCAAAACTTTGACTTGGGTAATGAGTCATATGGAATGAATAAGTTATAGACTTAAAGTGCTCTTATGACAGTTCACGTTATCCGCAGGAAGTACGGTTTTCTTAAAACAATGCCCAGTAGTGTTATGTGGGATCTGGAACTTGAAATGGAAGTATTTTTTCTACGTTTCATCGTGTCGATGTGATGAGCTGCAAGTGGAGCATGCAATATGTTTGTGATTTTAAAATAAGGAGATTGTTTGCACACAAGTTTTTCTCGTTAGATGAACGATTCGCATTAATACCTTGGCAGACCAAGTGATCCAACCAGATTTCTATTCTATGCCTTGAATTTGATTTGTAGAAGAAAGTATTCATCAGTTCCTTCTAATTTGGTTGACCTATTTCATTTATTTATTTTAACACATATTGGTACAAAGAGGCACTAAATACATATGCGCCACACAAGTCTCATTTGATATGTGTGACGACTGTGATACTGCCCGGGTGCCTAAATCGAACCAGGTGGTTTTCTTAGGAAGCCACACCCGGAGCTTTTGATCTAAAGATCTGATCCACAAGGCAGTGGGGCAACATCAGGAGATGCAGTCTCCTGGTCGCCAGTGACCAACGATTGGTTCATGCGCTATTTGTTCCTTTAGGATACTGGGGCCCATGTGCGCCATTGGTTTTGAATGAGGGTTTTCCAACTCCCCTAGGTGGACTCTCCATGTCCACCAACCCGGTTAAAGCGCCGGACATTCGCTTTCGTCCTCTCAATTTCGTAAAAAACACCCACCACGAGAAGGCAGTGAGTAGGACTTCTCTGGTAGAGGCTATATACGCGTGGCCATGTGAGAGCATTTGGCGAGGGAGAAGGGACTCCCCCCTCTGCCGTACCAGGGCAGATGCGTGATAAGTTGATCAATGCCTCAAACAAGCTGAACTAGCAGATTATATCTCCGTTTATTAAAATGATTGGGTTCCTTTCACTTTAGTAATTTGGGTTTCGTCTAATACCTACAGAACTACTTTTTTGTTACGTGCGTTTTGGAATCGTGTAAGACTATCAGATTCAGAGAAGAATCAGTTACTTTTCTAGGAAATTTTTGTTTCACAAAAACCACGTAGTATAGTATTACTAGATAATAATCTTTCAAACTGGAGTAGAAGTTAAGCCTTGTCTGTTGGTAAGTACAAAGTTCTAATGTGTGCAAATTAAAATACTCTGAAAACGTTTTTATGCCAAGTAAATCATAAACGAAGTATGTTTTCCTAAACGCAACATAGAGCATTGTGTTTATCATTTCCAAAACTCTCAATACCTAATTTAATGATTGTAATCTAAGTAGTTGCTTGTGTTTGAAGTTTTGTTCTAATCAAAGTAATGAAAAATACAAGTTTAAATGCTTATTTCGATTATCTCCAAATCATACTACGTTGATGTCGACTCCTCGTTTCTGGTCACATTTGCAAAGATTAGTAAACATTAAACCCGTTCAAATGACCCTCAGAGGTTTAGATCCGATCAGTTAACGTCTGAGTATGGAACAGGTGTGCGTTGACTTGAGTTCCCAAACCATGAGATCACATTAATAAGATTAACATCAACAGAAACCTAAGTAAGGTAGTATCAATGACAGTAGGGAGGATTCAAAATCAAGAGTATGATTTAAAAAGGTAGTGGAGGAATCCTGACATTTCACATCGCGAAAAATATACAGAGTAAGTGCATCTTTGTCATTATTAACGATTTTGAGTTATCATCAGACGTCTCCGGTCACGGATCGCGGTCATTTTTCGGACTCACTCAGGTAGCCTGTGTCCACTTGCATGACTCAGATCATGTCTTTAACATCATGGGCTGCCACTAGGTTTCATTCGACCGCTTCTAGCTTTCAGACTACTGTGCTAGTAAACATCATCTGTTGAGGTAGGCGGTAATTGGGCATGCGTAACATCACCTCAATCGATGGGTATACGCAACCTCATCAATGTATTCGACACCTTCATTTTATACTGTGCATCTTACCTCAACGTTGTTCACTCATTCACCGCGCGAGATGTAAGCAGTGCATTAAAGACACTTGATCAATAAACCTGGAGCCCATGCTTGTCTTCTACTTTCGAAGACCACAATTTACTGGCTAAGATAGGTATTAACTAAAGTGTAGAAGTATTAGGTAGTACGATTTAATTATTGGTCATACCATATTGAATCGTTATATTAACTGGGAAATCTAACCTAACCATTTTTTTCGAATACTGTGGAGTGTTTTAGGATTTGACTCCATGATATGAGAATAAACCTGTCAAATTTGGTATGAACGAGCATCCATACATGCATCAAAATCTGATGATAAACCTTTATTCTGTAGTGCTTGATAGGACTGTGATATACATGAAAACATTTTTGACATTCTTAATTGCTAACCATATGATGAATGTTATGTGCTAAAAGTTAATCTGACCGTTCAAAACATGCATTATGTTACGTAACAGCAATAAGACATTTTTAAATGAAGTAGATATATAAAAAGATTAGGTTTATTTGGTCAGTATTACTTCTGAAATATCTGGCGTTTCCTATAATAACTGGAAGATTGGTATAGCGGCATATAGTTGGGGCAAAATGAGCTCAATCAATAAAGCTAAAAAGTGTTTCGTCAATTTTTAGTTGCGAGCCACTTCAACTTATATATTTAAACCAATTCATCTCAGAATGTTTTCAGAGTCGTCAACATTCTATAAACTTGTTAACTACTGGTTTTAGCCATAAAATCAATAGTCGTTATTCAGTAACTAGTCAGTAACCTCACTGGTGTGTGATAAGTTTTTACTTTGTTTCTGACCGTAATTCATGGACAGTTATCTCAACTAATCGAGATGTATCCACATCTCTTAAAACCTAATGGCAACTTTTTGCTTGTGTTCCTCATTCATATTGTTTGTTTATTGTTATTCACCATATCCTAGTAGTGTGCTTTTCCCTATGAAGCTATTTAAACGACTAAACAATCATACAGTTATTTAATGGTTTCACCGTTTCTAAGATAAGTGCTACGAGGTTTGAACTTCAAGAGTTTACTAGTTCTCTAATTATTTAAATCCAGTCGGTTTCAGGATAGCTCTTGCTTCTGTAGCAAGTTAGATCATCACTTGGGGTAGCTCATTAACGTAAATTACAATGAACCTATTACTTACCTCCCTACACTCATATGCAGAAGCGTCAGATAGCAATAGAAATCATCTTTAACCATATGTAGTTGATATAATGTTCTGCTTAAATTTGCTCGTTTTTAAATCAATTTCCGTTCTAATTACAGTTCTCGCTGCTTGCTCAATTGCTAACATCGTTAAGACCAGCCTAGGTCCTGTCGGTCTTGATAAAATGCTGGTAGATGACGTTGGAGACGTGACAATCACTAACGATGGGGCTACTATTTTGAAGTTACTTGACGTTGAGCATCCTGCAGCAAAAATTCTTGTTCAGCTCGCGCAATTACAAGATGAAGAGGTTGGGGATGGGACAACATCTGTTGTAATTCTGGCTGCTGCACTGCTCAAGAATGCAGACGAACTGATTTCTCGTTTTGTTCATCCTACCATAGTAATCAATGGTTATCGGTTGGCCTGTCGAGAAGCTTGTAAGTATATACAAGAACACATGGCGTATGATGTAAATAAGTTGGGTAAGGCTGGGTTAATAAATGTGGCACGAACCGCTATGTCAAGCAAACTTATCAATTTGTAAGTTATTCACTTCGGTTGTACATATTATTGCTTTTAGAGATGCTGAAATGTTTTCACAAATGGCTGTGGATGCACTTATGGCTGTTGAAGTCTCTGGAGGTCCCAAAGGTCCTGTTTATCCCATAAAAGCAGTTAACATTCTGAAAGCCCATGGACGATCAATGTCAGAGAGCATGTTGATAGATGGTTATGCTCTGAATTGCACAGTTGCCAGTCAACAGATGCCTCGAACGATAAAAAAGGCGAAAATTGCCTTTCTGGATTTCAGCTTACAAAAAGTTAAAATGAAACTGGGAGTTCAAGTATGTTTAATATAGAAATCATTATATTCTTCGAAATACTAAGAAATTGATTAAAAATATTTTACTGTCGTAGATTATTAGGATAAAGTAGGAGATTAAAAAGGTTCAATTAAAAGTAAATACAACTAAACTGTCAGTCTGGAGGGCTCGCCTTTCGATTTATGAAGAACATAGTAGGGAACAATAGCAAAGTCGCTACTGACTTCAATTTAGTCATGAATGATAGTAAACTGAACCACTGAGTTGCAAAGTACCATAATGAAACTAAACTGCTGGTCCTATACATTTTTCTTTTATATTAGGATTCTATTTTGTCACCTGTGAACTATCCATCCAGTACTAGCGTCGCCAAATAATGTAAGATATGGGAGCCTCCAGGGTGAAATTTGTGAAATATAAAAGCTACAGATGTGAGGGTTTCAAGGTGCTATTCAAATATAAAGCTAAATAATCAGTCTCATAACCGTGTATCATGGCGTTTGATATTCTTCTATGATAGCTTTCGCAAACTGTCTGGTTCACTAAATTTATCAAAGTGGTCATTTTTGTTAAACTGTTTTAGAAAGTTAAGACTTCACTTCACTTTTTAAAACCTTTTGAGTAGCTTATCCCACAACTCGACAAAAATTTGGTTAGCAAGATTAGTTTTTTTGTATTATCAAACTAATTTGTGAACAGAATATCCACTTTTATTTTGTCATTATTTTTCCCTAATTATTTATTGTAACAGGTTGTGGTTAAGGATCCTGCCCAACTGGAAGCTATCCGTCAACGCGAAGCTGATATCACAAAAGAACGTATACAAAAGATTCTTAATGCTGGTGCTAATGTCATTCTTACAACTGGTGGAATCGACGATTTATGCATGAAGTATTTTGTTGAAGTTAATGCTATGGCTGTACGTCGATGCAAAAAAATTGATCTGAAAAATATGGCAAAAGCAACTGGAGGCCAGCTTATTGTTAGCTTAGCAGATATGGAAGGTGATGAAGTTTTCGATCCAACAAAGTTAGGAAATGTAATTCATTAGTTTATTTCAGTTTAGTTAATTCAAAAAATTTTATTTTTGGTTTAGGCAGAGGAGGTATCTCAAGAACGCATATGTGATGACGAATTAATTATACTGAGAGGTCCTAAAGTTCATCCATCGGCAAGTATCATTTTACGAGGTGCAAATGACTTTTATGTCGATGAAATGGAACGATCTCTACATGATGCACTTCTGGTTAGTGTCAATGTATATTATTTTATTATTATTATTATTATTATTATTATTATTATTATATTTTTGTGTTTTATAAGTAGAGGAACAATTCATTTGTTAAGTTATTAAATACAGATTCCTAATTTTTTCTAATCTTAATAGTTCATTGTTCACATAATGATACTTGTACATTGTGAGTTGTATGCATTCATCTTCATAACCATTAATGATTTTCAACAGTATCATCCAATGTATTCCACAATATTTAAGACTTATTTGATATAATCCAACCAGACAAGTTTTTAGGCATCTGCATGGTTCAAACTACCTTCAATTTTTTCCAATCTAGTAGTCCTAATATGATCGATAAGACATACTGAGGAAGGTGTAAATTTTTTTTACTGCCGTATCGTCAAGCTAAGCGTTAGATACTTTTTAGTTATCATGGTTGTTTAATATTTTGTGAATATTCATCTGTGTCCTTTGACTTATTATCTGTATGTTATTTGTTACCTTAATACACTGTCCAACTGATTTTTACTTCTCAGTAAGATGATGGTAGAACGTGACGTATGCGAAAGCTAGGGGCAATCATTGTTTTTAACAATCATGCTAGAATAATAACAGGTTACAAAAAAACATACACCACTGTAGGTTTGGGACTAACTACCCCAAATGGCCTGGTACGGCCGAGGGTGAGGAAAGTCTACTTCCCCTCTCGAAATGCTCTCACATGGCGATGTGCATACAACCACTGCCAGGGAAGTCCTAATCACTGCTTTCTCGCGGCGGGGGTGTTTACGAGATTGAGAGGACGAAAAGCGAATGTCCGACGCTTTAACTGGGTTAGTGGATATGGAGGATCTACCTAGGGGAGTAAGACAACCCAGATTCTTAACCAGTGATGCAAATGGGCTATAGAATCCTGAGGGAAAATGGCGTATAAACCTATTGTTGGCCACCGGCTACCACAAAAGTACATCTAATATTACTCCAATACCTTGTGGATTAGGCTTGTAAGTTAGTGACTTGGAGAGTGACATCCTAAAAAAACCACCTGCTTCGGTTTGGGCTCATATATATTTGATGCCCCCTTATACTAATGTTTATGTGTTTAAATAATAATATTAATAACATCAACATAACAAGCCGAATAGTAAAAGAGTTGATGAAACAGTCTTAGTACCAATGATGGTCAGGAAAACTAAGCAATTAATAATGAATAAGATTTCATGCATAAAGGAGTTCAAGATGTATAGGAAGGAAGAAGTAGAAAATGCATCTGCACCACTGTAACCAATTCTAAGCCATATTATACGTCTCAAACCACTAATCACGTTTATGAGTAGCCCAGCCAGGTTGTTTGTACCTACCAACATGACACAGACAAACAGTGAGCGACTTCATGGAATAATGCAGTGATTTGCTTGAACACCTCTAGCTCGGAACTTCGGCAAATTATATTAGATCTATTATATCTATACATTATGAGTGAAGTATCGTTATTTTTGACTTGTTGACTAAAATGTTCCATTTTGTGACTCATTAATTTTAATTTTGTCAGGTGGTCAAACGAGTTCTGGAAAGCAAACGCATTGTACCTGGTGCTGGGGCTTGTGAAACAGCAGTCTCAATCTATCTGGAAAATTATGCTTTAACCTTAAGTTCACGTGAACAGTTAGCTATTGCTGAATTCGCTCGAGCTATGCTTTCTATTCCGAAACAGTTGGCTGTAAATGCTGGTGTCGATTCAACTGAACTAGTTGCACGTCTACGATCTTGTCACAATTCAAGTCAAAGTAAACCTGACCAAGCTCATTACAAGTGGTAAGTTGATAGTTCAAGTGTTCTCAAAAACGTTTTTCAAAGGTGTCGATACTTCTACGGATTTTAGTGGCTAAACATAGGATGGAGTCGAATGAGTCTTATAAACTATTCAACAGACCAGTACATAGTAAATAGATATTAAGGTTATTTATTTAAATAAGTCATCCTTTCAACCGTTAGCGGACAAAGTAATCGAAAGGTAAGTCAAATAACGTCCACAGGGTTTGTGGACAGCTCATTTCTACATGAAATAAGCATTGATGATGTCTAGAACAACAACGTAAGCTTCACATGAACTCAGAAAACACAACCAACAGTATTCTTTTTATTTCCGTTCTTTTGCTTATCTACTCGCTTGTATAGATATTTTTATACAAATAGACTAGCTATAATCATATCGGTCAAATTCAAACCAGCCTCTATGTAAAGCATTTCTATTGTGTCTATATTACTGATTATTTTCATAATGTGTATTTTTGACAGCTGCAGCATTATTTCATTATTAAGTTAAGTTGTTTTATCAACAAAATTCGTCTGTAATTGATACTATTTCGGAAAAAAGATGGAACTGTTATTCACTCAATTCAGGAGATTGGATCATTGGGCAAAACACCTTAGGGAACTTTTCATCTGGCCTTCAACCACAATTCAGTTACCCGAGTGACCTGAATGAGAAATTGATGTAAGTCCTCCAACTTTTAGGTTGAAAAGGCAATGAGTAATCTAAAACGAAGGGGAGCAGCCGGACCTGATAGACTTACCCCTGAGATGACATGGTTCAGAATGAATCACAATGGCATAGGTGTACACACTCTTTGTCTCCTCTCAAACCGTGAGATTAAAATTGTTTTATACCTTTCTTTCTACGAACTAATTTTCTCTTCCTGTATTATATCCTCATACTACCATTGAAGTGACTACTTTGAATGTGGTGTTCATCTTGTTGTGCTAATGGGGTGTGGCAACTTGAACTGATGCATATATGCCTGTTCCTACATTGTAGCTGACTGACTGAGATTTTCAAAGATTGTGGTCGGGTTTTAGCATTTAGATTAACTGAGATCTTCACTAAAATCTGGAAACGACGTGATCCTATCTGATTGGCCTCGATAGTTGATCGTCCCAGTTTATAATAAAGGACAAAAATCCTCTTGTCACAACCAAAGATGAATCAGTTTGAATAATATGTTATCTAAAATAGTAGCCTCAGTTTTATTTCGACGTTTAGCTAGAGCTCGTGACGAGCAATGAGGGAAAATCAGACTTTTCATACCTGGAATTGGATGTACAGATAGAATATTCAACATTAACCAAGTTCTGGAACATAAACAAACCTTTCGACACCTGACTATAGTTGCATTCTGTTATAACATGTGGCCTGTGTGCCCTGTTAATGTATAACTTAACGGTACTGCCAATTAAAGAGCAGTGATATATCGATCGGATCAATGACGCGTAAACCTGTATGACCAGTCTAGAGTCCTGATTGGTCCTGCTTTCCGCCTAGCCCAGACAATTAGGTCCAAAACACCAATCTCAGTCTCTGCGATATGAATCATTATATTTCAAACATACTGAGTTTATATACCAATCAAACAGACCACAACGTACCATAAAATAGAAAACAACATTTGTACAAGATTTGGTCAAAAGTGGCTGTGAAGGTAGGAGGTAGTAATTAATGGGCAGGGCTTAATTCAAGAATGGTAAAGCGTATAATAATGGCTCATAAATCAAAATAAAGCTTATGATGAGAAGAATATGAATAGTTTAGTTATTTAATAATTATACGATAAAAATATATGTTCAGTATTGGATCCCAAAGTTACCGTTCATTATGCTTATCGGGACCTAACACATTCCTTGACATTAAAATGGCGTTTGACTCCGTTGATCGTTAAGCTATGTAGAATTATCTGTCATCGCTAGGCGTACCAAAGAAGAACATTAGTTTTTTACAGGCTCTCTAATCAAACACTTATGGCTAACTCGTCGAAATCGGTTACTTCAAATGGTGTTCGTCAGGGTTGTCTTTTTTCTCCATTTCCATTGAACGTTCTCACCAACATACTTTTGGAGATAAAACTTTCATCATCTGACTATACAGCGGTTGATCTGCCAGGAGATTAAATTGTTGACTTAAAACATACAAATGATGTTCTGTTTGGTGAAAATACTGAAAATATTCAGTCATCTGACCACCATAATTAACAATACTTGCATGTTTGGAATGTGGTTCTCTCCCTTCAAACGTAAAATGATAGATCACGATTAGCTTGCGTCAATACCTGATTTATTGATAGGAAGTGAAGTAGTTAAGTGCATCAATCGTTTCACTTACCTTGAGAGTCTCATCAGTCTTGATGGTCTGGCCTCTCGAAATCTCAGCACGGATTCCGAGGACTCAATCGGCTTTCTCAAGCTTGTGTCACTTGTGGCGTAGGCAAGATATCCGTCTTCCAAACAAAAAGCGAGTTTACTGCGCAACTGTTCGCTCCGTCCTATTTTGTGGGTGTGAAACAAGATCATTAAGAATAGAGGATATTCGCAGGTTACTGGTATTCGATCATGGGTGTCTAGAAGGTATTGCTCGTGCATTTTGGGAACACGGAATGAGCAATGCATAGTTTAGGGGTAGGGTACTAGGTAAACATGGCAAATCGATTGGTGAGGTAGTAAATCTTCACCAACTGAGGTTTGTATGCGTGTTACGTGTACCAAACCACCGCCTATCTAGACGGACGATGTTGTTTGGTGTAGAAGTAGGTTGAAGAAATGTAGTGGCAGTCATACAAAACGTGGCATCAGTTCAAGTCATTGACATTTGGACTAAGTCATGTTTACAGGTGTAGATTACTTGGTTGCTGTCCGCGTGATTATCATAACTAATGATTAGAGACTGAGTGATGTGGCTCAAGATCGTTTGCAATGGTGCAGGTCCGTCCATTCCCTGTCTTACCCCAAATTCGGAGCTTCTAATTTCCTCATGGTTTTGTTTGTGTTCTTATTCCATTAATTCATATTTTCTTCTCGAATCACAATCTTCGACGCTTAATCTTTTCTACTACCATTGATATTGTAACTACCTCTATTATTGTGGGGTTTAGTCTGACAATTTCATCTCTGTGTGATAATGGCGTAAGTCAACTTGAACTGATGTACATACGTACGAGGTTCTACGTTGTGATTGATTGTCTTGCCATCAGTTAGTGGTTTGGTTCACACTGTCATGATCTACAACAATATGACTCCCGGAAAATACTGGATTTTTAGACCAACAGAACATGATTCCGGGACGCACGTTTCGTCCAACATGGGATTGTTCAGCTTGATGTACCTACATTCCATCAGGTATATGTGCAGCTTAATCATGCTGTTGCAAGATGTAAATTGATATCTGAATAATTGGCATGGTAAAGTTCATCAATTATGTTTCCATATATAGAAAGATCGTATGATTTGATTGATTTAAAAATTAAAAAGGAAATAGTGGGATTGCTGTCGACACAGATGTGACAATTTAATACGTATAATAATGTACAAGGATGCACAGGATTAGGTCTTTGAAAAAATAGACGTGATGTTTTGAACTTCGTATTACCCCTTCATGATAGTTATTTCGATGTGATCTGTGAACGATTTCTCAATCGGAAACAATCTGTCTACCCAGATTTAAATTGATTAAACCAATTATATGACAAATTTAAATTCGGCCAATTAAATCAAAATTGGTAATTCGCCAGATACTTGTGTATAAGCAACACACTATTGGTGAAGGCTAATGATACTGCTTAGTTGCCTAAATGTAAGTAGGTGACGCAGCTTCCGAAACGAGTACTTAGTGGCTGAGAGTCGCTGTTCCATTTACAGTCGGTCCATAAGGATAAAAGTTATTAAAGTTTTCCTAATTTGATTGGAATCATGAATTTATCAATATAAGACCACCAACATTGATTGGTTCAATGAAATTAAACCATTTCCACAACTGCATATTGATAATTTTTTTCTAGTTTGTTTGTGATCAGTTTAATTGTGTATGTTTGGCAGTGTTTCATAAGTTACTATAGAAGCATAAAGTTAGATTTTATTTACTTACCATAAAGAAACGTATCTAAGAAAGACTTGTTGATATGAATTTTATATTCATATATAAATTCTGTCTCTTATTTCCAAGTTAATTGTGCATATATTTAGACTACTTATTATTAACTACTCATTTACTTTGTTTTTATTCTCGATAGACTAACATTTTTCTTCCTTTATTTTTAATCTCTTCAGGTGGGGATTGGACTTAAATAGTCAATATGTGGCTGACTGCAAAGAATTAGGTGTTTTTGAACCACTTGTTTCTAAAATTAAAAGTTTAAAATTTGCTACTGAAGCCGCTATCACTATTCTACGAATTGATGATTTGATTAAATTAAAAGAAGAGAAACAACCTGATCATGATGGTGACGAGTGTGGTTATTAATTGAACTCGATTCCGGTCAATATATTTCTATCGTTTGTTGGAAGAAATATATGTGTTACATAATTTTAGAATGTTTTATGCTAATTTGAAATCATCAGTAAAAGGTTATGGAGATTGTTGAGCGTAGATTAATATCATAAATGAATCAATGTTAGACCACCATTTAAAATCTGGAAGCACTGTACATCCAAACACTGTGCCAAATAGGACAACAAGCTTCCTTAGCTAGGACTCTAGAATCCCACGCCATCGATGTGTTCTGCGTCTCCGAAACGCGCATACAGGATCCAAGTAGCGTCATTCATTTGACCTCATCATGCCAAAATAAAGAACTGACTCGATTCACGCTTCGTGTATCTGGAAGTCCTGATTCTGCTTCCCGTGGCCTCGCCGGCGTAGGTATATCATTGAGTCCTAGGGCAGAACTAGCTCTCTTAGAGTGGATCCCAGTAGACAGTCGTTTGTGCGCTGTCCGACTGAACGGAACAGTAAGGATCCGGAAAGATAGGGACACTCGTCGTTGCCTCTTCGTCATCTCTGCCTATTCTCTCACTGACTGCAGCTCAGATGATGTAAAAGATGAGTTTTACAGAAAGTTCTCCGACCTTCTCCGAAAAGCTAAGCGCTCTGATGTAGTAATATTGGCTGGTAACTTTAATGCTCAAGTAGGTAAACTAAGCGGTAGGGAAAGACACCTAGGTGGATCTTACAGCATCGTGGCTCAAAGAACAGATAATGGCGACCGTTTGTTGCAGCTATGCTCAGATAACCACTTGTTCCTTGCAAATACTAACTTTAAGCAAAAGGAAAAACATGTTTTAACATGGCGACATCCTAATTCGTCCCAACGTTGGACCCAAATAGATCACAACGCTATCAGCCACCGATGGAGGGGCTCGATAGAAGATTGTCGCTCATTCTGGAGCACATGCTTGAATTCATATCATGCTCTAGTGCGAGCGCGTATCTGTCTGCGTCTTACTGGACGTAGGAAAGACGCTGCAAGGAAATCTCTTAGGGTCCTACTTAATGGTAGTCAAGCTAAGAGTATATTTCAGGAACAACTAGGAAAACAGTTAGGCAGCCATGTATCTGATGCCCACCCCGAGGCAGCATGGAATGATATCCGAAAAGCTGTGGAAACAGCAGTGATATCTGCTAGTAAGGTAAACTATAAGGTCAGCGAGGGACACTGGATCTCAGCAGCATCTACCACACTGATAGATGCTCGAAAACTCATTCCACCTGGCTCTGAACATAATGAAGAGCGGAGTCAGCTTAAGCGCAAGCTGACAAGAAGTCTACGCAATGATTGTGAACAGTGGTGGGTAGCGAAAGCAAGAGAGATGGAAAAGACAGTGGCAATAGGTAATAGCAGACAATTGTTCAGACTCGTTAAGGAAACCGGAATCAGGAACCCGACCGTTAGCGAAACAATCTCAAAAAGACGGACATATTATACATTCTCAATCCAGGAGATTGGATCGATGGGCAGAACACTTTAGGGATCAGTTCAACTGGCCTTCAGCCACATTTCGGTTTCTAACGATCTCCAGTCAACCTGAATGGCAAGTAAATGTAGGTCCTCCGACTCTTCATGAAGTTGATAAAGCTATAGGAATATTACAAATATATTATTTTTATTTATAACAATCAACCCAATGCTCAATTTATTCGAAATTATCGAATCAAACCTTGGTAATGACACCTACAGAGCTATAGGAAATCTGAAGCGAGGGAGAGCAGCAGGCCCTGACAAGTTTACTCCTGGGAATTTTAAGGATCATGGTCCAGTATTAGCAGTGGGATTAACTGACCACTCAAAGCAACAATGCAAGCATATTCGGCATATGATTCTCCCTCGAAATGCAAAATGTTGCTTCAGGATTGGGTTGCATCGACACCCGAACTAATGATAGGGAATGAAGTAGTTGGGTGTGTCGACCGCTCCACTTACCTTGGAAGTTTCATCAGCCCTTGTGGTCTGGTGTGTGGCGAAATCTCAGCACGGATACAGAAGGCTCGACTAGCTTTCACCCACTTGCGTTATTTATGGCGTAGACGAGTTGTCCGTCTACCAACCAAAGGACGTGTTTACTGCGCAGCAGTTCCTTCCGTCCTAATTTACGGCAGTGAAATATGGCCTGTAAGAGTAGAGGATATTCGTAGGTTACTAGTATTTGATCATAGGTGTCTTCGAAACATTGTTCGTATATCCTGGAACCATCTAGTGAGTAACGCAGTTGTTAGGAAACGGGTACTAGGTAAGGATGGCAAATCAATTTATGAAGTAGTGAAACTTCATCAGTTAAGATGGCTGGGACATGTGTTACGTATGCCAGATCAAAACATGGCACAAATTCATGAAGTCACTGAAAAGTGGACTGAGACATTTTGTTAGGTGTAGACTAATTGGTTGGGATACGCGAGATGATAACAACCGATGGTTAGAGACCTTGAATGAAATGGCTCAAAATCTTTGTAATGGTGCAGGTGCATCCACTCTCTGTGTTCTCCCAAATTCTAATCTTCTGAATTCTTCATATCCCTTTCCTTTTTCTCTTTCCAAATTTGTTTCACTGGATTACACTCCTTGAATAACATCTTCAAACCCTAATGTTTCCGATTACTGCTTATACTCTTACTACCTCTACCACTACGAGATTTGAATGGAGAATTGTATCTGTGTGCTAATGTTGTATGGCAAGTGGAACTGGTGTACCGACGTACGAAGTTCTACATTGTTGCTGACTGACTGTCTGGGCTGCATGATCCTGAAGGAACAAATAACGTATGAACCCATTGTTGGTCACCGGCTACCATTAGACTGCATTTTTTAACGTTGTTCTACTGCCTTGCGAATAAGAAAACCACCCGTTTCTGTTTGGGCACCCGGGTACACACAAATCAAGTGACTTGTGTGGCTCATATGCATTCAGTACCGTTTTGTACTAATATTCATGTATTCAAACAAATATTCAAGGAGAAAATTCGATTCATTGACTAATGAAATATTGACTTCCTTATGCATACAAAAACTAAATCATTTCGGGTACATTTCAAGTATTTTATGTTTTACAATAAATGAGTTTACACTGCTAAATAGTTTTCATATGAATATCTGTGTAAAACATTAGAGATCTAAGTGATTATTGATTAGAAAGTGTTTGTTGATTCCTTTTTTTCCGTCCATAAATAATAAAGTTCAATGAATATTTATAAAGAAAATTATCATTAATCCTGTGTATTTTCACATTGGTCCATTAAATCCATGATTTTGTCTTACTACATTACTAGGCATATTCATATTAACTGTCATTGTTTGATATGCTGGAGCAAATGCACCGAATGCACCACCCATATTCGGTGGTATCATACCATATCTAGCATAAATAGGATGTCGTATTGTTGATGTTTGTTGTTGTTGTTGTTCAGCTTCTGCTGCAGCAGCGGCAGCTGCAGCTTCTTTAGCAGCTTTTTCATCCATCTCTTGTGCAAGTGCAGCTTCTCGTTCACGTCGTTTCCTACTACGTGATTTACATAACGTTAATTTTTCATGATTAATTATACAGAATGCAATAATTATACCAATGGTTAATAATAGTACAACAATTAATAAACAAGCTGATAATACAGAAGGTGGTAAATATATTTCTTCTTCCATTGGATTATTGGTCTTTCTTCGTCTTGTCTGTAATGTATTTATCGTTAATCGACGAAATGGGCAACGTTCTAATGCTTGATGTGAGCTAACTTTATCCGATGTAGTTGGTAAACCCTAGTTTTGAAAATAAAGGACGTTCAATGTGTTATGAATGCAAATGTAACCACAGTAATAATAATTTAAGTCAAAAGGAAAAACACCATTGTCGTACTCAAACCAATCACCTGTGAGTTATTATCTAGATGCTTCAATAAATTTGATATTATTAAGTTAAAGCCGACTAACGTTGACATAGGTTTCGGAGTAAGTGGGACTCGTCAGCAAAGCTTACTTGCTGTCGTATAGAAAATGATGTATTTTGGCAGATTCTAACCGATATCACCTAGTATTAAGATTAGATACTTAACAGCTGAACTGTTCGACTAACTGTTCATTTCTGTAGCGTTGAGATGCTCACGCCGATAGACCACCGATTTGTATTGCTCGGTATCGATCTCTGTCTATCAACTTGAGATTTATGCGTTAGTGAAAGTGGCATGACATTGGAGTTCACTGAGTTTGTTATTGGATATTTAGGGTAAATGAAAAGTCAATCCTTTATTAATAAAACAGTATGGTATTATGATGCTCTTTGATTGATTAAAAAAAGTCAAATAACTTATTTGAAATTGTTTAACATAACTTGGGTCGATTAAAGTTAGACATTAACACCATTGGATGCTGGTTAAGTTGTCTACAGGTTGGGCGTTCGCGCGCGAGACCGAAAGTTCTGGGTTCGAGTAGTGGATGCGCACTACTGAGGAGTATCATACTATGACAAGACGGACGTCCAGTACTTCTATGTTTCCAATGGTAGTCTAGCTTAGATCGACTCATAAATTCGACTATTAGCATAACTTGAATTTAGACGAGAAGTAAATCATTCACTAGCTACAGTTATGAATTATGAATAAATAATTGTGTTCACTTTGTAAAACGATAGAGAAATAAAAGTTCATCAACAAATGTGTAATTACGACCTGATTTGTTCTTAGGTAAGGTAGGATTAGTTACCTCTCATATTATCTGTTCTCAATGTGCTTACAAATTTCATTAATTAGTAACAATACACTATCTCATCAAATGGTATTCTGGCTTGTGAATATTCTCGACTAAACTAAAAATATTGACAGGAGAATTGGCCTACTTAAACACTCAGTAAACGGAATATCATCTATTGGAGTGAAATGGAGAGGAATTGATGTCTACAATAACATTCATGTCTCCCATTGTCACAGTTAGTTAGTACTTTATCCTACTGAGATGTTTAAATCATAACTATTATCATTCCATTAAATTCAACAAACTATTTTGCAATGAAAAATATTTGTAGCTCAGGATAAGAATTTAAAAGATGTTTTGTGCTTTGAGCAGAGCTAGTCAATTGTGGAGAAATTTTAGTAACTCACTTCTTTTGAAAAAAAAGTGAGCTAATGATATTGCAAAGAAAGACAGTGAAAGTTTGACAATTCAACGATCCAGCTCAAGGAACAAAATACTCTAGAAAACAATCTATTTACTTGCATTATAAGCAAAGATGAATGGTGGCTAGCCGTGGAATCCATGATGCACCTTTCATTTTATTTAAGGTTCGTTAGTTGATGTTTCAAAAGAAGTGATTGTGATCAATTGAAATCCTTAACACCATTTTGGAAAATTCAAATCATCAACACAAATGTATGGATTACTAATAGTTCAATGATAACGAAAGTATTTGATTGAGATCATGAACCGATTGATGTTAGACCATCACAATTGAAAACCTGGAAGCACTGGACGGCCGTTTCGTCCTACTGTGGGACTCCTCAGCAGTGCGCATCCACGATCCCGCGAGCGGGATTCGAACCCCGGGCCTCCGGTCTCGCGCCCGAACGCTTAGCCAACTGGACCACTGAGCCGTCATCCAATGGTGACAGTTTCTAATATCAACCAATCCACGAAATTGCGCGACCAACTTCCGTTGTACTGAGGTAGATACCTGTCTCTACCCGACACGGATTAGCTCCACTGGTCACGGCTTCTCACTAGAACTCCGAGAATTCCCTCACGAAGCTAGTCACTAGTGGGCACATGTTGATTACTAGTATAGGTGTTGTGGAGATTATTAAGTTTTTGATTGAGATCATGAACCGATTGATGTTAGACCATCACAATTGAAAACCTGGAAGCACTGGACGGCCGTTTCGTCCTATTGTGGGACTCCTCGGCAGTGCGCATCCACGATCTATGATAATGAAAGTAACTAACTTACACCTGGTGAAAATTGACAATCAACATTTGATGTAATATTAGCTGATTTATGTTGAACAATAAATGGACATGATTGAACTTCTTCATCACTTTGAAATTCTGTTATATGATGTATATCAATTGGTTTTGGTGGTAAACGTTCTCTTTTTAATCCAGTTAATGAACGAAATACAACTTGTGTTAATTTATTACTAGCAAAACGTTCAGTATCTTCAAATGGTATAGAATTATTTATTAAACTTCTTCCATCAATACATATATATTGTGTTAACTGAAATAAATTTTTTTAAAAAAAACAGTATGGACAATATAAATATGATTATAATAATAGAAGTAAATGTTGACAACAATCAATCAAATTCAAAGTAGAAAGAACAAGTGATTACTCGTAGAAAACTTCTCATAGTTCACTTCTATCTGAAATTTGTCTTAATAGTCAAGTTATTTTCAATAGCGTATTGTTAAACAGGATGCAGGACTGTGTAGACGCCCAACTTCCAGACCAACAGGCAAGATTCCGTAGAGAGCGATCGTGTGCAGACCAAGTCGCAACACTACGGATCATTATGGAACAATCGATTGAGTGGAACTCACCACTCTACATCAACTTCATTGACTACGAAAAAGCATTTAATAGCGTGGACGGGAATACACAATGGAAGTTTCTTCGACACTAGGGCGTACCTGAGAAGATAGTCAGTCAGTCATCTACAACGTAGGACCAGGCACATATATGTATCGGTCTAAGTTGCCATACCTCATTAACACAACAAGATGAACACCGGATTCATAAAAGTAGTTAATTCAGAGGTGGTAATATATAAAAGAAAGATTGCAATAAGGATATAGTACAGGAAGAAAGAATTAGTTCATAGAAAGAAAGATATGAAGCAGTTTTGATCTCATAGTTTAAGGGAAGACAGGGAGTGTATACACCGACGCCATTGTGATCGATTCTGAGCCATGTCACCAAGAGTCTCTAACCATTGGTCACGAAAGTCACGCGGACCTCAACCAAGTAGTCTGCATCTACCAACATGGTTCAGACTACAAGTTGGTGACTTCAAGCACTGATGCCACGTTTTGGTTTGGCCGCCCCTAACATTCTTCCAACCATCACTCGCACCGGTTAGCATTGCACGTCGTGGTAATTGGTGTTTGGGCATACGTAACACGTGGCCCAACCATCTCAGTCGATGAAGACTCACAACCTCGTCAACTGATTTACCATCGTTCCCTAATACCCTACACGTCTAAACTCACTATTACTTACTCGATGATCCCAGCAGATGCCAGCAATATTTCTAAGTCATCTGTGGTCAAATACTAGTAGCTTACGAGTATCTTCTACACTTGATGGCCATGTTTCGCTGCCTTAAATTAGAACAGAACGAACTGTCACACAGTATATTCGTCCTTTAATTGACAGACGGATATCCCGCCTTTGCCACAGGTGACGTAAGTTGGCAAAAGCCAAACGAGCTTTTCGAATCCGTGCTGAGATTTCGTCAGACACCAACACATTAGGGCTGATCTGACTTCCAAGATAAGTGAAGTTGTCAACACGTTCGACTACTTCACTCCCTATCCTTAGTTCAGGTGTTGACGCAGACCAGTCCTGAAGCAACAACTTTCATTTAAAGGTGGAGAAATTGTTCAACAATAATATTTTCTAATATATATTATTTATACTTAAGTATATAATATTAACTTACTTGCATTATACGTTGATAATAACGAAATAAAAATGGTGGTATAGTTTTCATACGAAATCCTAATTCTAAACCTAATAATTCACTATCATTTTTAATCCATGCTAAAAAATCTGCATCTACACAATCCACTGGTGGTAATGAATATTCTTGAAATCTTGGTTCATATATAAATAAATAAAATTGATCATTATTACCAATCATAACACAATCTAAATAACTAATTATATCGGTTGGTGATGGTAAATTATTCCAATGATCACATGACATATATAAAGCATCATGAAAAGTTTGTTCCATAGTTTCATTGAAATCATTTGTTCCAGTTATATTATTATTATTATTATTCATAGAACTTGAATCTGTTTCATTTATAGTTGATTGAATGGTCGAAATAGTACTACTACTACTACTACTACTAGTAGTAGTAGTAGTGGTAGGTATCAATGATGATTGTGTTGTTTTGACACTATTAATTGATGAACTTTTCTTTGTTTCTATTGTTGATAAACGTACAATAAAACAGCCAACATTTGGACAGAATTGACATATAGGTAATTTAGCATTAGAATGATAAAGTAATTCAAATGTTCGATCAGTTTTGTAATGACCACCAGTTAAATTTACTTTAGCTGGCCAATAACCACTTGGACATAACATATTAGGTGAATAATAATTATTATTATGATTACTATGTATAATGGTAATGTAAACTATATTCAATAGAATAAAATAGGATAATATTCTCTGTAAAATAAGTTGAGTAATTTCAATAGACATCATTATATGTTGTTGTCAGAATGAGGAAGGATTTAGAATTAACTGTATAGTTTCATCGATAATCACTGCATACAATTTATATATTTTAGTGGTCCAATCAATGTAACATAAGGAAATCATGGCCTTGATCCCCATCATCACAAATATTGAAATCGATAGATTTACCAATATACGAAGTGTGTGTGTGTGTATGTGGACATTGCAAGTTGTTTAAATAATACTTTGGGGGAAGAGTGAAAATGTGGAAAATTTAGGACTTTGTTATTCTGATTGGTTGTGTACAGAATGATAAAGATTGTTTTAAAAACTACACCTTAATTATTTATTTGAAAGGTCGATAGCATTCGATCTGCACTAAATAAGGACTTGACACACATGACATAGATAACCACCCACTGACCAATCAATTGTGATTACATCTCAGTCCTACAGGAGGTCGGTTGCCGCTCGAAGAGCTCCGTGGTAACGTCTCTGGTTGTGAAGCTGACTGACACGGGATCGAATCCGCCAGCGAGCATCAGTTCCCTCAAGATTATAGGTACACCTTGCTGACAAGTGCCAAGTAGCACGAAACTCGGGTCCAGGGTTTCCTGTCGACTACCTCCGACCACCATCTAATCTCAATATATAGTGCACACAGTGTCGAGTCACCTAGACTAGTGGCCACATTGCAACGTGGTCGATAGCATTCGATCTGCACTAAATAAGGACTTGACACACATTACAGTGATCACCACCCAGTGATCAATCAATTGTGAGGTTTTAACCTTTTCAAGACTATCAAGAACCTGTCACTTATCCATTTAAGACTTGGATTCGATTTCTATGAAGATATATTTTGATTTTTCTTCACAGTATCCTTACTACTGACCAACCTGCTTGATAAGCAGTACGAAGCAAGGGGTGTAGGTGTCTAGTGAACAAGAACACGAGTGAGGTCAATCGAATGTATCTGTACACAAAATTACAGAACGTCTTACAAAATCTGAGAACCATACCGGAAAAATAGATAATTTGCATACTATCAGCCAATTGTCTCAAACTTGACCGTTCTTTTCGCAAATATCAATTGTTTTCCGTTTCCGTTCTTTTCTTCACGATCTTCTACTGAAATATATTCTATTCCTGACTATCGTTATATACTACTTGTGTGAATATAAGTAGCTCATATCACAGGTGAAGTATTAACTTTCCTAAAGAACTACACAAACAACTCATAGGAAAAGTCTATGGATTATGAAGCTATTATTGAGGCAAACAGATTAAGCCAATAAAACTTTGTGTATCACTTTATTCAATCTAATATATAAGACAAAATAGATACTTCTTGTATCATGGATGTAGTTTAAGGGTGAACGCTAGAGAGGGAGATAGATAGAACAGTCCTTGCATATGTATAAAACAACTACTAGTGGTTCTCGATGAACATAACATTGTCATAGAACAATCAGTTGAATAAACTATCAACCTAAGATGGGCAAAGCCCATTTTGATCAGTGAATAAACAAGTTGAATGAACTGATTTAGGCATATAGAATACTGTGTAACAAATACAGCTCACATACCATTATTGAATGTAGTGTATGATTGTATATAGCTTTTTTGTTGTACAGTATAATCCGATGTAAATACACCTTGATAATCAACTAAAGGATTACTTTTTCATAAAGTTTACTACTACTACAACTTAGTACTAGCTGCATCCTAGGTAAATAAGATCGGTTAGGAACAAACATTCATTGGATATACATGATCTCGTGTGATTGTTGATAATAAGATAATCGAAACAACCATCTGTATGTTGTTCATCTCATCTTTCAGGTGCTATTTATAATCCACTGCACTGCGTGATTACAATTTACTTTGAGTGAACTATGTGAATGACCTAAATATGCTTAATGCAATGACAGGTTGATCGAATATAGTGATCAAAATGGTTACATATACACAGGTAAGAAGAGTAGTCACTTTCTATACTTCACATACACCTATGCTTACTCTATAATCAATGCAACGTCATTAGTAAGTGAATTTAGTCGAAATCAACGTAGAGCCTCATAAAAATGTACTTCAGTCAAAATTATCATACAGCATGAATACAAAAAAGAGTGAATGAGTCAGAATAATAGAAGCGGGAATACTAGGAAGGACTGAACACGTGAATATGATTTAACATGAAAGAATGAAAGTTTTTATGAAATGCTCGAACGAAAGATCTAGAAAGAGATAACGAGAGAATACATCTGAGACAGTGTAATCTATGCTGAGCCATGTCATCCATTGATGTATAGAACCCCTACCAATACAACCCAGATCAACAGTCTCTGATTTTACGCATTGAGGTTAGGGAATTATCAACGAAAATAATGTCAATAAACTCTGTTATAACTCAATCAATATAATCATCACTCAATCTTGCGACTTAGCAACTGAGGCGTGGTTATAATAAACTGCAGCCATATGTCATAAAAAAGATAGTCCCGATTGCGTTGTAGCGGTTTAGATATTTGTCTTCAAAATAGTCTTGCATGACAGTAATTAGTAACTAATATCATTCTGTCGAAATTTCGATAGATGAACCAAGGTTCAATATCAATCACCGTTTCAAGTTAACATGTCACTGTCTTAAATTGTTTGATTCAGATCTAGACAACAAAGGGAATCTCACTAATTTTCCACATAAAAATCAAGGTAAAATAAAGTTTCGTCATGAATATTGTATCATTTATTTCATTTTTCACTATGTCGACTGTAATTTTGATAAATAAAATAACGGCATAATGGTAAAATTTTACAGCTCATATAGAGAACCTTTTGATTGAGATCATGAATCGATTGACCACCATTGGAAACCTAGGACAACTGGACGGCTGTTCCGCCCCATTGACACTCTCCAGCAATGTGCATCTACAATCCCACTCGCGGGATTCGAACCCAAAACCAATCGGTCTCGCACGTGAACACTTAACCTTCTGGACCACTTAGCCGGCATCCGACGGTGTAAATGTCTAGACTCAACCAATACACGAAATTGTGCGACCATCTTTCATTGTAATGAGCTAGATACCTGTCTCTACCAGACATAGACTAGCTCCACTGGTCACAGCTCCTAACTCCGAGAATTCCCTCACAAAGCTAGTCACTAGTGAGCACATGAAAATTATCAATATGGAGTTGTGGAGACGAAACGGTCGTTTGGTGTTTCCAGGTTTTTAATGGTGGTCTAGCACCAAGCGACTCATGATCTCAGTCAAAAAGTAATAATATTGACGAACCCACACTGATAGACAACTTTTGTTAGTATTATATTCAGTAAATATCGTCATTTTCATTTTATTTATGTAGTGTTTCTTGATATCAGGGCTGCCTTCGATTCTTTGGACAAGACTGTTCTCTGCAAATGTTTATTGAAGAAGGGTTTGCCTGAGAAGTTTATTAACATCTCACACCTCAGGCAGAGTGAGGGCATACAACCACCTTTCTCCATTGTTCCATTCAAGCAATAGGGTTAGACAGGATTGCCCAATCTCACCATTCCTCTTCAACTTTGCCATCGATGACATTCTGGAAACAGCTCTGATGGATGTAAGTAATGGTGGTGGGGATCTGTTGCCTGGAGAAAGACTTCTCGACCTTGAGTATGCGGATGATAGTGTCTTACTGTGAGATAATCCCCAAGGCATGCAATTCGCGCTTAATCAGTTGGCAATCAGTGTCCGTAGGTATGGTATGTGCTTTGCACCTTCGAAGTGCAAAGTACTTCTACAAGACTGGCAGGATTCCAATCCTGTACTCACCCTGGATGGTGAGCAGATAGACGTAGTTGAGAAGTTCGTGTATCTGGGTAGCTGCATAAGTGCTGGTGGGGGTGTGAGTGATGAGATCAATGCACGTATAGTGAAAGCCAGAGCGGCCTATGCCAATCTGGGCCATCTTTGGCGCCTTCGTGATGTTAGTCTGGCTGTCAAAGGTCGGATCTACAACGCGTCGGTGAGAGCAGTCCTACCCTATGCTTGTGAAACTTGACCTCTCCGAGTTGAGGATGTTAGACGACTCTCTGTGTTTGATCATCGTTGTCTTTGAAGGATTGCTAACATCCAGTGGCAAAACCATGTTAGTAATGCAGAGGTTTGGCATCGTGTGTTCGGGCACGGAGACGATAATGCAATTGGTGTCACCACCTTGAAACACTGACTTCGGTGGCTTGGACATGTTCTCCGAATGTCGTCCCAGAGAATTCCACGTCGTGCATTATTTGCCCACGCTGGGACTGGTTGGAAAAAGCGGAGAGGTGGTCAGTGCATGACATGGTATCGGGGTATGAAAGAAAGCTGCACAGGACTGGCCTGTGTTGGTCCTTCACGACTCCCTGGTTGGGGTCCTAGAGATGGTGCAACACAGTGGTTAGAGACGTTATCAGATATGGCTCAGAATAGAAGCCAGTGGCGATCCTGCTGTAACCTTCTTTTACTTTCTTCATAAAAATTGGTTGTATCTTCCTTAACTGAAAGATTTCTTCTGATTGTACTTTTCCGTTTCCCCCATTATCATTATTACACTACGTTACACTAATCTGATGGTTATTGTTCTTTTTTTTTCTTTTACGCCCCTTACCTTCTTTTTTTCTCTTCCCATTCTCATTGTTTTATGTGGCGCATATATACTTGGTGCCCTCTTGTACCAATATTTATGTGTTCAAATAAATAAATATTGTTATATTCCGTGAGGTAAATAGTTTAATCAAAATTTTTTTCATAGTCGTTCTAAAGGAGATTCCGATATCAAGTGGGGTCGATTCAGAACAACATCATCGGAAGTAATTTGTTAAACAAACAATTTACTGAACTGAATAGGACTGAAAGAAGAAAGAACACCGATTAAGAACAAAAATTCAACAGTGAGAAAAAGACAAAAACAGAATCACAGACTATTTTGAATGATTCTTGGAGAAAGACATTAACAGTATATACACGAAAGTGAAAATCAATTCCGAGGACAGAGTGGGTTGGAGAATGCCGGTCGGCAACCTATGCTCCACTGGGAGTAACAGGCGTAAGTAAATATCAATTGAAGAACACATTTGAATATGTAAAATGTAATGGATAAAATTTGGTCCTTTGATGTTATTTTCAACAAAGAAAGCACCATATCTGATAACATTGGAATTGCATACTATTTATATATACAAGCACTTAGCAGCGTGAAAAAAACAGATTAGTAATAACAAAAATATACTTAAAAAGCGGATGTCTCAATCATATCGCAAACGAATGACTATCTTCTTTACAGTTGACTGGTGTGATTAGACCTTTACCATTTTGCCCTAATTTATCACCAGGTTTCCAACCAAGTTTTTGCAATAAACGATGACCTTTATTGGTCTACAAAACAAGACAAAAGTAATGCAAAGTACATTGTTATGGAATATTATTTTAAAGGTAGAGAAAGAATGAACAGGTCTCAAAAATCATTTATGTTTACAATGCTACTGTGATCTTTAATCGATCAAATGGTTATTAATATTGGGAGATTGGTTGGGATTGTTCAGTTTTTTCTTTATATAAACAGATTGTCATTAGCTAGACAAGCATAAAGAACTAAAAAGCACTACTGGATGATATTTTTGTCATACCATGGGACTAATCCGCAGTGCGCATAGCGGTAGAGATCAATCGCTGGTACACTTATTAACAAATAGTGACTACAAATACTAGGCTTGCTAATATCGGAATACAATGGCTACCTGGACGGACGATATCGTCTGGTATGGGAGTCGGTTGAAGAAATGTAAGGGCGGTCAAACCAAAACGTGGCATCAGTTCAAGAAGTCATTGACATTTTGGCTGAGTCATGTTAACAGGTGTGGACTACATGGTTGCTGTCAATGTGATTATCATAACCAGTGGTTAGAGACTTTAAGTGACAGATCAAATTTGTTTGTAATGATGCAGGTCCATCCATTAACTGTCTTACCCCAAATTCTAATATCCTCATAGTCTTGTTTGTGTTCTTATTACACTAATTTATATTTTCTTCTTGGACCACATCTTCGATGTTTAATCTTTTCTAATACCACTGATATTGTAACTACCTCTATTATTGTGGGGTTTGGTCTGACAATTTTATCTCTGTGTGCTAAAGGGGTATGTTAACTTGAACCGATGTACATACATACGAAGTTATACATTGTGATTGACTAAGTGGACAATTACCGATTAGCGTACAAAGTATGCACTTGATAAGCGAATATCCGAACACTGTCCTGAATGGCTATCTGAGTCTTTTCTTTTTTTATTTTAAATTCAATAATAAAAGAAGTTTAGAGACTAAGAAGCAGTTGGGAACTGTTTGTTTAAGATTCTTTTGAGTACGAAACTGATCACTATTTGCAAGTTTAGAAGTTCCGAAATGTAACAGAAAGAAAATAAAATTGAAATTTACCTCGTTTAATGGTTTAGCATGGGACACTTCTGCTTTCCAATTGTCAATACATGGACGTTGATTGTTCACACAGGGAGTGTGTACTTTTTTATTATGATCAGAGTCAAATTCATCAGAATCCCGTAATGACTCATTGTCACTAATCATCCATGGAGGTGTAGGCATTTGACAGTTAGATTTATCAGTCTGAGAAAAAAATATCACAGAGAATTATATTTGTAAGCTGGTTTTGTCAGTCAGTCAGTCAGCCACAACGTGGGACGAGGCACACATGTGCATCGGTCCAATTTGCCATAACTGGTTTTGTATCGGGAAATAATGATACTTTATTGATTAGTGACTGATAACAAGAAACTAACTGATGAATGTTAAATAAAATTGGCATAAACATTGTTATCTGATATAATAGGAAACTATTACAACGAGACGAATATCGAGAAACCTGTAACTTGTGGACCTATCCTGTGAAGAATTATTGCCAAGATGTTTATTAAATAACTCTAATAGGAATCTTTGGTATGGTACATAAGGTATTACTGTACACTTCACTTTTTACAATTCACCTTTGATTACTTACTTAATACTTACGCCTGTTACTCCTCGTGGAGGAGCATAGGCCGCTCATCGGCATTCTCCACCCAACCCTGGCCTGGGGTTAATTAATTACGGATGTATTATGAAGTTTCTCTTTAACTTATGGTGAAGTCATGCATATAGTGCATTTCATCATTTATGATGGTGTGTGATTAAGAAATTAATGTGGATAGTATGAATTGAATTATGAAATGAAATAAAATAAAACAGAGAAGAGATGTATTTGCTAACTTTATTATCTGATTAGACACTGGGGTGGATGTAACTTGTGGACTAATAGGAGTTAAGGTTTGAATTGTTGTTTGCCGATCCTATAACCATTAAGTAAATCTAATCAATAATCGTCGAACAACACAACACAATTGCTTCCATAATAACAACCCGACCGTATTAACCGAAATACATTTAAAGTATATAGTTTTTTTTTGTTGTTGAAAAATATAAAACAACAAAACCTCAAGCAGTGTGAACAATCATGCTAACTGAAAGAGAAAAATTTGCTTTTTTTTTACTGTGATTGGGAACTTTTTTATACAAAATGTAGCTACCATCTTGAAAATTATATGTCAGGGAAGTCCTACTCACTGCCTTTACTTAATGGGAATTTCTATTATTAAACTGCGAAAACCGAAGCGAAACATATAGAAATCAAATTGAACTGCTGGATACGGAGAGTTCATCCTATGGGAGTTGGGAAATTCTAATTCTGAGGCAATAGTGTATATAAACTGCAGGTGGGTTTTATGTTGCTGATTATTGCATACGATAAACGTGTAATCAACATACTTTGGAATAATACGCAACATTTTATTAATCATTTCTTTAAGCTTGGTCTTCTCATGATTTAATGAAACCAATCCCTTTTATAAAGTTCGATAGTACAATGAGAAAACTGCGTTGATCCGAAAAATGTGACGTATTTGTGTTATATATTTCGAACATTCTGGTCACATAAATACTTCTCAAGACATTTTATATGATACATTAATGAAGGCTCAAGTAAACAAAGTGATAATTGTAGATGTCGTTACCAAGGTTTGAGTATTAAGTAGATTATTATTGCCCCCAAACGCCCTGGTATGGCCGAGAGCGGGGTGGGTTCGCCCTCCCTCTCGAAATACTCTCACACGGCCACGCGTATACAGCCTCTGACAGGGAAGTCCTACTCACTGCCTTCTCGTGGCGGGGGGGTTGTTTACGAAAATGAGAGGACGAAAAGCGAATGTCCGGCGCTTTAACCGGATTCCAAACCAATGGTGCACATGGGCACCAGTATCCTGTGGGAACAAATGGCGTATGAACCAATTTTCGGTCACCGGCTACCATGGGACTGCATCTCCTTACGATGCTCCACTGCCTTGTGGGTTAGACCTTTAGGTCAAAGGCTCGGGGTGTGGCCCCCTAAGATAACCACCTGCTTCGGTCTGGGCACCCGGGCAGTAGCCCAGCCCACACGCAATTAATGAACTGAAATTGTGTGGCGCATATATGTTTGGCGCACTCCTGTACCAATATATATGTGTTCAAGTATAAGTATAGATTATAATTAATATAAACAATGTATTATTGTTTTGTTCCTTTGAACTATTTAAACTTGTGTTAATTTAATTTGTTTACTTATTCTCTGAAGAATTGAGTAACATGGAATTACGAAATGCCAGGAAATTTTATTTTTCTGCTCAAATATATTATTTTTATTAAAAGTGATAATTATGAATGAGGGAGAGAGAAGAATTAACATCGTATAGAAGGAATAGGAAATTATCGCATTACCCTAGGCCATAAAGTGACTTGAGGATTATCAGAGTAAATTCAAGGTTATGACGAATTGTTTTTGTACATATGAAGGAAGGGTAAATCTACGAATACCCAAGGCTTCTATAAACCTGAGAATTCGTCCTTGATAATTTCTATACAACGTTTTAAAAGCTGCATTGATACCAATTCTGTCCCCCGTTTCAATTATGTGCTTTGCTATCGATGAACGTGGCTTTCTACTTTCCATATAGATTGAAAGATTTGATATTAACTGATTTTGAAACCATCCAAGCACATGTTCCATAACCTTTGATTACATTGTTTGGTTACTCCCCCTTATGTATGTGTGTTTACAAAAACATGCAAATTAGTAAACGCAGTAAGGTGTGACGTAATCATATGTGTATTCCCTAGATGTTTAGGATCACAACCAGTTTAGCAGCGTGATAGGTTGTTTCGAAGGCTGCTTTTAGTCTGTCTCGAAATCAAACAGTTAAACTCACCTTTAAACAGTTTTCCTTAGAACATAATGAAAGAGGTTTTAGTGTTGACTGATGTTTGCACGTATTTATAAACTTTAGTAGATAACCCTTTGATATTAGTGTGTCAGTCAGCAGTTTTGCGTCTTCTCAAGATTAATTCTGATTATATTATGACATCTTAAAAAATTATAGGCTGCAAGCAGCTGATGAAAACCTAATAAAATAATCAGAATGAATTGTTTTATCATTCGCAGAATAATGTTCAAAATGTTCACTTCTTCTTGAGGTAGGCTACTGTTGATAATGTCTTCTAAAACGACAATTAAAAACATTAGTTTTTTTAAGGTTATCACCAGAAAACCCTGATTAAACGGCGTTTGGTGCTAGTTGGTACTCGTCAGCTACGTGTACCCGCAATGTTGAGAAAACCAATGTGCTCCAAGAGATGAGAACCCAAGTCACCTAGCTTCACAGTCTGTTATGTTATCATAGAACTATTCAGATCACGATTGACCTCCTGTATAACAGATATTTACAACTGAATTATCACTGAGTACTGGCCAATGTCAGGTTGATATTTATCAGATTCCATTAATCGAAGTAACTGAGTACTTTCAGCCACTTAACATCTCAACATAGTACGAGCTATGTTCAGTTAATTCGACCTATGGCTCATATTTTAACTTTATCAATGAAAATCGATCAGCACTAAAGGAAAAATAAACATAATATTCGTCACAAACTATTGACCAATCAACTGAAATAGATTAAAAACAATTCAATTTACCGAAATCAACATTATCGAAGTAATATTCACAATTGAAGAACATCTGGAACTCAAAACATCTGTCTGTCAACCAACACCAAAGTCAGGATTTTCAATACAAATGTCAAAACAGTTCTACTGTATGGGGCGGAAACTTGGAGAACTACGAAAGCCATCATTCAGAATATACAAGTGTCTATTAACAGTTGTCTACGCAAAATACTTCGGATTCGTTGGCCGGACACCATTAGCGAACAACCTACTGTGGGAGAAAACAAACCAGATCCCAGAGGAGAAAGAAATCAGGAAGAAGCGCTGGAAGTGGATAGGACACACATTGAGGAAAGCACACAACTGCGTCACAAGACAAGCCCTCATTCGAAATCCTCAAGGCCAAAGAACACATTACGCCGAGAAACGGAGACAGATGGAAATGAGAAGAATGAACAACAATTGGATAAAATTAGAAATGAAGGCCCAGGACAGAATGGGTTAGAGTATGTTGGTCGGCGGCCTATTTTCTATTGGAAGTAAGAGACTTGAGTAAGTAGTTTATGAATTTTAATGGGTTATTACTTTTATCACTTATTAATAATTCGATTGAAAATCTAGAAATTTTCAGATTTCACCATTTTTCCATTTATCTCTCTCTAACACTCTCATAACAAAGATCAGTCATTCAAAAGAGGGAGGTTGGTTATGAATACAATGGTCTTGAGTGCTGTTAAAGGTATGAAGGCGGTTATCACTTCTCGGTTGCCCACACCGTGGAAGGGTTCTTCTGGAGGTACCTGAAGAAGAAATTAGATTAGAGATGGTTTTAGTGACCGGAGAGCATGACCGCAGTGCTCAAGAGACAACCGCTTGAGGTCGGTCACACAACCATTTTGTGAGTAATTTTCATGTTAGCTCCGCACTTATTGAAATCCTACCGCCAGAGACGGATATCTGTGGGATAAGGTGAGGTGTGCATTTTTAGGGTCGACCTTTTCTAACCCCACCATTCCTTGTGGGAAGGCAGGGTCACTGTTATACTGGTTGTCTGAAGAAAACACCATACTGCTGTCATACCTCTGTATAGTCAGCAGTATGACTTCGCTCTCAGACCTTGGGTTTGCTGCTTTTAGTCTTACCGCTTTTCGACCGACCTGTCTGGCATGGTAGGATATTGAGGAACGATTGTTCCAGCTAGTATAGCTGGATTGGTTCATCACGATGGGTAAGCCTAGCCACCACATCAAGGTAGCAACAACGTTCGGGTCTCATAACAAAAAGTATAGTAGTAATAATAAAATAACAAACAAATAAAATTATTGTAAATCAAAATTTACCTTACATATTGAATCATTTTGTATATAAAATTGATTTAATTTAGATGGAAGAAATTTAATTGAATTTTGTTGGATAGATTTTGAATCCTCTTTCATTTTATGATTACTCGGTGTATTGCGTTTTTTTAAATTAGGATATCGTTTTGAATTAGATAAATTCATTGCTTTTGTATAATTTAATTTTGCTCTGTTACTTAATAATGGCCAAGTTCCCTTATTAATATTATAAAGAAGGAAAACAAAACATAATCAAATAAATGAACACAATCATAATTTATATAAATATGGATAAATTAAAGAGATGATTGTTAAGCTAAGGAATAATATTCCTTTAAGAGTGAGGAAAGTCAACTCTCACTCTCGAAATGCTCTCACATGACCACGTGCATACAACCACTGCCAGGGAAGTCATACTCACTGCCTTCTCTCGGTGCGGGTGTTGTCTATGAAATTAACAGGATGAAAAGCGAATGACAGGCGCTTTAATCGGGTTAGTGAACACGGAGAGGAAGTCACTCTCCAAGCCTTTGATTTACAGGTCTAATCCACGAGATAGTGGAGTAACGTTAGGAGATGTAGTTTCATAGTAGCCAGTGAACAAAAATAGGTTCATATTCCATTTTTTTCCTTCAGGATCCCATAACCCATGTAGATCATTGATTGGGAATCTCGGTTGTCCCACTCCAAGTAAATCCTCCATATTCATACAAAGTTACTTTGTTACAGATTTTAAAAGCCAATAATAATATACATGAAAACTACATCACAAATTAGTATCGTCTGGAAAATTATCAGAAACTAAGGAGAACTGAAAAGATGTTTTCGTCTAATATGCAACCAACCTCTCGTTATTAATCTTTACAACTCTGCACTGATTATTTTCTATCCGTCTCGGCACTTCCATGTGGAAAAACATTTTTAAAAAACAGAATGGAGAGATAAAATAACTGATCTTACATGTAAAAGATTAACCAGTTCCGGATCAACTGGTTCATCTAGAGTTGAATTAGTTGAATCATCTAACTGATATTTTGAACTGAACGGATCAACAACTGTTTTACAACGATTGTTATCTGTTGTGGTAGATGGTGATTTGATGATTTTTTGAATAGTTTTCTTATTACGACAAGTCACATTCATCATATCAGTATCACAAGTGTTCTGATGTTCCGGTATAGAGGTGAATCGATGTTTGTATGCAATGAAACCTTTGAAATATGAAAAATAACATTACAACTATAAATAATTAACCACTAGATATAGACTGGGAAGTCTGAGGAAACGCTAATTCAAACTGGATCATTGTTGATTCATAATGGTGGAGTTGAAAAGAATATATAGAATGAAACAATCATTCACTAATAGCTAGTTTTCAAAGATTAATCAGATGTGAAATGATTCTTGTATTTAAAAACAGATAATCTTGGAATACATAAAATAAACACTTTTGTGTATGATAAACACAGAGAAATATTTAGTTACGTTAAGTCAACATTAAGGTATAGTTGGACAATAAATAACGAATTACAGTTGAATTTATTTCAAGAAGATAAGCTAAATAGACTTGTAAGCAAAGATGAATGGTGACTAGCAGTGGAATCCATGATGCGCGTTTCATCCTATTTAGGACTCGTCAAAAGGATGTACCTGCATTTTATTGTTGATGTTTACACCGGGACTCGAACCCAATACCGTTCGCTTCAAACGCTATCGCGTTATCCACTTAGCTACTGAGTCCTGATAGCCACTAGCTTGTGCTTCAAATCACGTGCACTAACAGATATGCAATATAGTACTATTTAAGCACAAGATGAAAGAAAACTATCATAGCACATAACCACTAAATTTTATGCTATAATACAGTTGATAGCATCTGTCAATGTGGCTGCCAGGGTCAGTGTTATTGATTTGTTTGATTACATTAAAGATTCATATACTAGTTATTCATCTACCTATTTTAATTGGTCTTGTTAAAATTAGCTCAGTTCGTTGTCATTTGTTATATCACAAGTGTCAACAGATGGTGAGGAAATATTTAATAGAGAACATATCTTGAGATTCTGTACTATTGATACAAATTTTAAGTAAGTATTCTGACTTGCAGTTGTAATAAATCCCGTATCGTGCGACTAACTTATTTTAACATCACCAAGTGGTAAAAGAGTTACAGGGATCATCTTATGTATTTCGCATATTGTTCAGACCTAATATAATTATGGAAACATTTTATTATCATTATAATTGTTAGAGTTCATCCAGTGAGAGTTGGACGTCAATATTATATATTTTAACGCAAAAATGGCATAATTCAGTTTAAAGAGTCATGTTAAACACCATAAACGGTATTTACGTAGGGAAAAAAGATCATTTCAGAATTTGATCAGTATAATATACTGTTAAATGTAGCCAAATTAAACAACATAGGTCTTTTAAAATTGTTTTGATTACTGAATAATACAACTACTCTAATAATAATAATAATAATAATAATAATAATAATAATAATAATAATAATAATAATAATAATCATAATAATAATAATAATAATAATAATAATAATAATAATAATAATAATAATAATAATAATAATAATAATAATAATAATAATAATAATAATAATAATAATAGTCCCCCTCATATAACCTTAGAACGGTTGACCAATATCACGTGCCAAGTCAACAATCAAAATCCCAATTTTAATTTGGTCCATTTCACGTCTCGTTTTTCCTCGACAGTCTAGTGTATCCAAACTCGCCAATCACACTCCCGACAAGAACTATTAATCTTGAGCTAACAGCTAAGTTCTAATAAACCTATCACAAGCTGCTCTCTATGCCCTGCCTTGGGTTAACAAGCAGTTTCCACTATAATTATCTCTCAACAGACATGGTTTATATACAGACATGCAGGAACGTATCACATCATGAAATGAAAAATAACAATTATACCTGAACAAGCCAAAAGTGGCTCTGGATGAGAGAAAAGGTGACTAATGGAGTGGTAACAAATTAGGAATAGTAAGTCGTATGACAGTATCCAATGTGTCAACAGAAAACTTATGATAAACAGAACACATAGACACAGTAATGTAGCTGCTTAATAACTATACAATAAGGATATATGTTCAGTTTGGGGTTATAGTGATAGTGGCATTTCAATAAAATCATGAACCGATAAATGTTAGACCACCAGTGAAAATCTGGAAGCATTGGACGGCCGTTTCGTATCAGTGAACATCCACGATCCCGCACGTGGGACTCGAACCCAAGACCCGTCTCACGCGCGAACGCTTAGCCTCTAAATCGCCAATTCAGAACCCAATAATGTACAAATCTAACTTCAATCAATCCGCAATATTGAAAACTGCCAGGGATTCCCATACTAGGGAGAAAGCCATTCCAATATTTCCAGGTTTCCAATGGTTGTCTAACTTCGATCGATTCGTGATCTCAAATAAACTCAACAATCTTTACAAACTCATAATGATAACATTTTTATCATTTTGCCAATCCAGTCTTACTGTGTATTATTTCCAAGTGGAATGACACACTGTTAAACTAGTAGTGCACAGTATCCTCGATGTTAAACCGTTTACGCATATTAAATAGTTAAATAATATCAAAATGTACAGAAGATTAACTGGGTAAATAAGGCTGTAGAAATTAATTTGATCAAATATATATGAATATACCTTTCGAACGTTTCTCATCGGATGATTCTTCAGTTGACAATGATGAACTAGACGAAGAATGTGAGCCATTTTTGATACAACTTTTATGACAGTTATGTCTAATAGAGGAATAAATGATAAATAATAGCAACGATAACATTTTTTCAGTAACAATAAATTTTTTATGAGGTTCCATACATGAATTGTAGGTATCTATGGATACTCAATGACGGTGTTAGTGAATACTTATTAATAATTGATTTATTCAATAGTATATGTTCTCTATAAAATAAAATTTCCCGTTAAGGCCTGCGTAATAGCCGTAAACTATGGCTGCATACATTGGATAACGAGTCAAAATCAGCCACAATGGCACGGTAGTATCCATTTGTCATATTCGACTACATTTGGGGCTAAGAGTTATTGCATACTTTTTATTTGCCTGCGATGCTTTCCAGTTGCCTGAAACGAAGGAATTGGACAAGGATTTGAATCTGTGACCTGTTAGTTGAATGTTTACCATTTACACTACCATATCATCCAGGTTACTTGCGGTACTGCGTGATGTGGGTTCGAACCCCGAGAGTGACATTACAAATGCGCCCCATCAACGGGTATCAACTAAGATAAAACGTCTAAGACCCTGGATTCTTATCGACTACGCCAAACTATCTAAGGGAGAGAGAGAGAGAGAGCAAAAGCAAAGAAATGTGAAGAGTAACATGGATTCATTTTATTTGGTTAGGTTCTCATTAGCAGTTTACAACCTGTCATATTTTAAGATCTAAATTACCGTTAAGCTTACGAATTTGGGACAGTAAAATTGGATACTTATCATCATGGTGGAGTAATGAAAGTGAAGACACACAGTGTTGGAAATAAATGTAATACCTAAGTGAAGATTCTGGATCATCAGACATAGTAACAAGGGATCATATAGCTAAGATAACTAATTGGTTACGTAATGAAGTAGTTGGACATAAATTAATTGCAATTAAGAATGATATGAGCTGAGATCAGTTAGCTAAGAATAAAACTATGAATTTAAAGGAAATGATACAGTCAAAGTAGGAGAAAGAAAATGCATGAATGACGTAATGAGCTGACGATAAGGTCACCATGATAAAGAAGGATTCGCAAGTGTCTCCTTTTAGATAAATAAATCCAACTTGAAGCGTTTGATAGCTATGGCTTCGGCAAATTTGAGAAGTATGTAAACACTACGATAATCTTGATTCTAAAATATTATAGGTTATAAACAAATGATGAGAACCTAACGACATAAAATGAATTAATGTCATTCTACTTAATTCTCTGTTCTTGCTCTCCTTAAAATAATGCAGGGAACTAAGCGAATGAAATTCTTTTAAATTTTGAATAAATATATATTTAAGTGAGAGATAAACACAATTGAATATTATACACTCGGCAACAATAGTAGAAAAATGTATATACTTACTCTCCATGTTTATCATCAGTAGTATCACTCTTATTTCGCGGTCTACACTTGCATTTCTTGTTACGACGACCACGGTGACAATGATTCGTATCAGATGATGAAGAGGCTAACATACCACTGATAGTATTTCTTTTAGTTTGTTGATAACTAGATGAGATAACCGGTGATAACCTAGACGATGAATGTTCACAATATAATCCAGTTGTATTATGTAAGTGTATTGATGTTAATCGTGGAATTTTAATATTTATTGACAGGCCGTCCGATGAATCACCGCCTCCCCCAGAAGCATGATACACAGTATCCATTGGTCTCCATAATTCATAAGAATGTTTATCGAGAATAGATGATTTACGTCTACTAATTCTTGTCAACGATCTACCACCTTTGAAACAGATTAAGTCGCCATGATCTGCATCTTCAATGTCAGCATCATGTGACGAAGCATCACTCTCAGAATTATTATCTGATGATCCAGTGACTGAAAGCATTGACGATCCTGAAGAATAACGTCCCACGGCTTCAATATGATCGGAGCTTAGTGATTTATACAATATAGAATTCGAACAAGAAAAGGGTGGAATTGGTTTAGTTTGTAAATTTAAAGCGTCTATCGATACGGATACATGCTGTAATGATTCCATGTTTGATGATGACGATGATAATAATAACGACGATGGTGGTGATTGCATAGGTTTCAAACAAACAGCTGTGGAATGTTCCAATTCCATGATTGTATCCAGTTCAATTTTATCCGGTTGCCATTTACGTTTTGAACCTGTTGTAATAGATTGGCTAAGATATAAGAAAATAGGCAGGAAATAAAGAGATATTAGGGAAATAAATATTTTCCCATAAAAATTGTTTTATAACGGTTAGCTGCATAGCTCAAGCATATCGACAATCAGTCAGATAAGTCATTCAATTATAGGAACCACAAGTCAGCATACAGGATGGAGGACATTGACAAAATGTACACGAGAAGGGTTAGTAATATTTTGATGGATTTTTGTTCCCTGAGCTGGATGGTTTGGTCGTGGAGCTTTCGTCGTTCTTCTGAACGACATCATCAGCACAAACTTCAAGTAGAAGTGAAGTGTTTGAATTTCTCCATTTGTGTTTAACAGCTTGTTCTGTGCACCTCAGTGTTCACCTTAAATTTGTCATTGTTTACTTCTTTGTTTTGGCTGTGTCTCCCATTGGTTAGAGATTTCCGTTCCTATATTTGTGCATGATTTTCCTGATTGGTTGGTAAATTGGGTTGATTTCAATATGCATGTTGATTGCTGATTGACCTGAGTGCCAGGCTTCTAAAAATTCTCTGGTGATTTTGGAATTTCCTCTGTCTAAGATTTCCACATTTTTCCAATCAAATGATTGTCCACAGTTGTCCACGTGTATTGCTATAAGTGAGGAGATATCATGGCGTTTGACTGCTAATTGATGTTCGTGTAGGCGAAGGTGAAGGGGGCGTCCGCTTTGTCCGATGTAGTATTTTCCGCAGTTGGCACAATTTATTTTGTAGATGATGTTTGGATTGTTTTCACTTGTTATTTCATCCTTTGGTTTGCATAGGATTGATTGTAGTGATTTTGTCGGTTTGTGTGCCACACCTATCCCGAAGGTTTTCAGCAGTCTCGTTGCGGTTTCTGATATGCCTTTTATGTATGGTAGGGCGATCCTTTTGTTGATTTCTGTCCTTGACTTGGGTTCTGATGCTGCGCGCGGTTGGTATTTTTCGATGAAGTTGATTGGGTAGCCGTTCTTTTGAAATACGTCCTTCAGGTATTTCTCTTCATTTTTTCGTGCTGTCAGTGTGCTGCAGTGTGTCCTCGCCCTCTTGGACAAAGTGTGTACACAGTTGATTTTGTGAGCTCTTGGGTTTTTACTATTGTAGTTGAGAATTTGATCCGTATGAGTCGGTTTCCTATACACTTGAGTTTCCAGTTTTTCTGTGTCGGTCCTAGTGATCAATATATCCAAGAATGATAGTTTGTTGTTTGACTTCTGTTCCATTGTGAACGTGATGTCATCGAAAACGTTGTTGATCAGTTTGTAAGTGTTTTCCAGTTCATTCTTTTTGACGATGACGAATGTGTCGTCTACATAGCGAATCCAAATTTTTGTCTTGATCACTGGTAATATCGCGGTTTCTAGTTTTTGCATCACTGCTTCTGCGATCAGTCCTGATATTGGTGTCTCTTTCGTTTGTTCGTAGATTTTGTTGTTGAATCGAAAATATGTTGTTAGGCATAATTCGATGAGTTCTAGTAGACTTTGAGTTTGAAGCTTCGTGTGCTTAGTGAGATTTGTGTCGTTGGCGAGGAGCAGGGATATAGTTTCTTTTGCTAACCTTGGTTCAATTGAGGTGAATAGCGCTGTTACATCAAAGGATACCATCAGTTTGTCGTTGTTGATTCGAATTTCCTTAATTTGGTCCAGGAATTGTGTGGGAGATTTGATAGAGTGGTTGAATGAATCTACTAAATGTTTCAGTATTCGCGAAATTTCTTTTGACAAATTGTATGTTGGCGTTCCGGGGAGTGCTACAATTGGACGTAGTGGAATGTTTGGTTTGTATATTTTGGGTCTGCCGTAGAATCGAGGGAGTACTGGCCCATTGGTCTTTTTTGTTATTTCTCCTGCTTTGACCAGCTTGTTTAAAGTCTTTGAGATTCGGTTGTCTAATTTTTTGGCGGAATTTGTATCCATTAGTTTGTGTGTGCTCTTATCTTCAAGTAGTTCTTCGGCTTTTTTGACGTATTCTTCTTTGTCCATAATTACTGTGGTGCGTCCTTTGTCCGCTGGTACTATGACAATATCCTTTCTATTTCTGAGAACAAAACTCCATCAAAATCATCCACCTGAGCTACAAATCTTCTCCATCATCTCAAAATCATATGGTTAGTAATATTAGATGGAATGGGAAATAAAATGTAAGATATCTAAATCAGAAAAGGAAAGATTAAAGAATGATTTGACACGATAATCAACTCAAGGTTTTAAGATAAAGAACGAATGAAAGTGTGGCATTGAGGCTGGGGTTAGGCCACGGCATCCAACGTCTCTAACCTGATAGTCCACATCTACTGAGATGGCCCAAAGCAACAAGTAATGACTTAGTAAACTTATGAAATAATACAATTTTTATAGCATGAAAAGCATAGTGACAGAATCTTAACTGCTTTTTATCTGTATTCATATCTCGAAGTGAGATACATTATCTATAGGACTATATAAGCAATCAGGAGTTGTCAGTGCATGGAAACCCAATACAACTACATTGTCATAAATTCACCTCTTTTTATCTTTTCCATTAAGCTCCCAAATTACCAAATAGTGTTTAGTCTCGATAGATAGAACTTGAATATCTGAAGATGACTACTCCATTTCGTTATGTTGCTTATAAAAAATCCAAATACCATGACGAGAACTTCACCAATGTATAACTAAAATGGAAATCAATAACCTGCAATCTTCGACTTCAACCAGTAAACGACATAGTGGTTAGTCAGTCAGTAACAACGTAGAACTTCGTACGTACGTCAGTTCAAGTTGCCATATCACTAACACAGAGATGCAGTTGTCCATTCAAGTCTCATAGTGGTAGAGGTGGTAAGAGTATAAGCAGTAATCGTAAAGATTAGGGTTTGAAGATGTTATTCAAAGAGTATAATCCAGTGAAATAAATTTGGGAAGAGGAAAAAAAAGGACATGAAGAATTCAGAAGATTAGAATTTGGGAGAACACAAAGAGTGGATGCACCTGCGCCATTTCAAACAATTTTGAGCCATTTCATTTAGGGTCTCCAACCATCGATTGCTATCATCTCGCGGTCCCCAACCACGTAGCTACACCTACCAACATGTTTCAGTCCACTTTTCAGTGACTTCATGGACTTGTACCATGTGGATTCGTGCTAAAGCAATCAAGACATCTGAGAAATGAGAAAAATGTAGGTGCCGGTCAAAAAACATGACGTACCTAGCTTCACTAACAGTTATTTGGTACGATAATGTAGATCTCTTTACAAGCTATAGAGTTAATACTGCCTTATACCTTGGAATCCGATACATGTGTCGGGTAGCTATAAGAATATAAGCGCTAAATATATGGTGCGAAATCTGATATTTTAATTAAGTATATAAACGATATATATATATATATATATATATATATATATATATATATATGGACTGATAGGTCTGACATTTTAAGGAAAAAGGGGTCCCTCAAAAGTAATAAAATGAGTGGCATGACATTTCGACTGACTGTACAACATAAAGTAAAAAGAGGCTTACCGGTCGTTCAATGTAGATTCTGATTCAGTTCTGTTCCTGGATTTTGCGTGTCTGGTACGAAAATGTCGATACTGTCTATCGGGATTAAGGCTTGCAGTCAAACGAGCAACTCCATGACTTAAACGTGAAATGGCACGTGCAGTAACAGGATCGTGACGAACTAAACAATGGTGGTTAGAATTTGGTGAATTCATGAATATGATCTAGTAATCCACGTGGTATTTATCAAGACCTAGGAAACGTAATAGGATTAAAAGTAATACAACGACAAACATTTAAAGATGGTGCAAACACACTATTACACATCTTTAGGCGATAAAATATACTATGCAGTTCAGACAGACAAAGTTATGCATACAGCAATATAGAGTCATGTCAAATAACACTTTAACAATCAGTCAGTTACAAACAACGTATGGACGTATGTTGATTGCTTTAAAATTTTACACTCTATCCAGATAATGGGACGAAGTTGGTCTGATGGATGGGAAAGAAGTTGGAACTACATCAGAAATAATGATGGTAAGAACCAAAAGTCGAGAATGTGACTCCGAAAGACAGGAAAAAGGGTATCCAATAATATTAAAATATAGGGACTGGGAAAAGAAACTGAGTAACTCACTGGTACTACAAATAAATTTGAGCTATATCACCCAACGTCTCCAGCCACAAGTCAATATGATTGCGAAGACATTAACTAGGTAGTCAGCAGCTGGTAAATTTATGGGACGATGAGACAACAAGGTTTGGACATTCATAGATTTTTTCAAATTGCTACACAAATACGTATTGTATGATTCGAGAGAAACAACTGTCATTTCATGTCTCCACATTTAAAATCAGTACAGTGAAGAGTGATCCGATGGAAAAGTTACACTGAAACAATGACTACAATAGTAACAAATAATTAAGAGACAAAAAGTGTGAAGATGGAATAGCATAACATACCACTATTCATGGAATAAGATGTAAGGAATAATATGGTCATTAAGTTACATTATATAAAAACACTAATACACCTTACTCAATGTGCTGTTTGAAAAAAATTATGAGGGATCAGCGACACAACGACAAAACAAGCTAAACTATCCCGATGTGTCCCAGCCCTGCTAACTAGAGGGAGAAGACCCAGTTCAGACGAAAGAGCATCACACAACCACCCAGAAACAATAACAACAACAAGCACACAACGTAATCGCATATATGCAGCATAAAAATGTCCTTAAGAAATGTCACAAAGTATCATATTAAAAGAGGAAACGAACCGATGACATTTAGAGTACTTCCAACTGGGAAATACAATCTGAATGTGAAAATAGGCGCATTTGAAGTAAAAACGAGGAATTAAAAATTCCATAATAAAAATACAAAAATAAGACGTTTTCAAGTGATTTTTGGGGATCTAGCATCCCGAACAACATGACTAAATTTTCAAATATTCATCCAAGTGTCCAGCGACAGATTTTTGATTATTTGGAGGATTCCTTTATAAAGTCCAGATTTTGCACAATTCAAATCAAAATTAAGGAATTTTGTTCGCGAACTCCAATTCTGAATGTTGGTATGAGATTCTAGAGCTTGATGTATGTAAAAGTCAGTCAGTCAGTCAGCTACAGCGTAGGACCAGGCACATATGTGCATCGGTCCAGGTTGCCATACCTCATTAGCACAGCAAGATGAACAGCGGATTCATAGGAGTGGTTAGGTCAAAGGTGGTAATATATAGGAGAAAGATTGCAATAAGGATATAGTATAGGAAGAAAGAATTAGTTCGTAGAAAGAAAGATATGAAGTGATTTTAATCTCTTAGTTTAAGGGAAGACAGGGAGTGTATACACCGACGCCATTGTGATCGATTCTGAGCCATGTCACCAAGAGTCTCCAACCATTGGTTACGATTGTCACGCGGACCTCAACCAAGTAGTCTGCATCTACCAACATGGCTCAGACTAGAAGTTAGTGACTTCAGGCACTGATGCCACGTTTTGGTTTGGCCGCCCATAACTTTCTTCCAATCATCCCCTACACCGGTTAGCATTGCACGTCGTGGTAATCGGTGTTCAGGCATACGTAATACGTAGCCCAACCATCTCAGTCGATGAAGATTCATAACCTCATCAACTGATTTACCATCATTCCCTAATACCCTGCGTCTAACCTCACTATTACTTACCCGGTGATCCCAGCAGATGCCAGCAATATTTCTAAGGCATCTGTGGTCAAATACTAGTAGCTTACGGGTGTCTTCTACTCTTAAGGGCCATGTCTCGCTGCCGTAAATTAAAACAGAACGAACTGCCGCGCAGTATACTCGTCCTTTTATTGATAGACGGATATCTCGCCTCCGCCAAAGGTGACGTAAGTTGGCAAAAGCCAAACGAGCTTTCCGAATCCGTGCTGAGATTTCGTCAGACACCAACCCATTAGGGCTGATCTGACTTCCAAGATAAGTGAAGTTGTCAACGCGTTCGACCACTTCACTCCCTATCCTTAGTTCAGGTGTTGACGCAGACCAGTCCTGAAGCAACAACTTGCATTTAGAGGGAGAGAAGCGCATCCCAAACATTCTGGCATTGTTGCTTAGTGCTACCAGAAGACTCTGCATTCTATCAGCGTCTTCACCAAACAGGACTATGTCATCTGCGTATTCTAAGTCGATAAGTGGACCTCCTGGAAGGAGATCAATACCCGAGAATTCAGTCGACGAGAGTGTTATTTCCATCAATAGGTCTATGATGAAGTTAAACAAAAATGGAGAAAGTGGGCAGCCTTGACGGACACCACTTGAGGTTGCGAAAGTAGATGACAGTTCGCCATAAGCTCTGACTCGACTAGTAGTGTTCGAGTAAAGAGCCTTCACAAGGTTTATGTACTTCTGAGGTACGCTTTTCAATGACAGGCACTGCCACAGAGTCAAACGCTGCTTTTAAGTCAAGAAAGACCACCATCGTCGGACGCCGATAAGTATGCCTGTGTTCTAGAATCTGACGAATGGTGAATATGTGGTCGATGCAGCCACGACCAGGTCTAAAGCCAGCTTGGTTCTCTCGAGTTTGTAGTTCACGAGTCTTAGTTAGGCGTTTGATAATTATCGAGGCCAGTATTTTAGATACTATGTTTGTTAAACTAATCCCTCTGTGGTTGTCACAGGATGATTTTGACCCTTTCTTATATATTGGGACGATAAGTGATTGCGACCAGTCAGATGGGATAAAGTCTAATTCCCAGATCTTAGCTAAAATATTAGTCAACTTAATCGCTAAAATTGGACCACCATCCTTAAAGACCTCTGGAGCCAATCCATCTGGACCAGCTGCCCTTCCTCGTTTCAGATTAACTATAGCCTTTTGAACTTCAACAAGAGTCGGGGGACCTACTTCAATGTTCCATTCACACTGTCTGGGAATGGAGGGTAGTTGTAGAGTAGCTGAAGGCCAGCTGAACTGTTCCCTAAAGTGTTCCGCCCATCGTTCTAAACGCCTGGACTTGGAGCAGATGAGTGTATTGTCTTTTTCCGATATAATCTCACTTACACTTGACTTATTAATTCCAGTTTCTTTTATTAGTTTGTAAAGCTGTCTTGTGTTCCCTATAGTCGCCGCCTTTTCCATCTCTTTTGCTTTCGATGCCCACCACTGCTCACGGTCGTTTCTTAGACTTTTTCTTAACCTAGATCTGATTTGTTTTCGCTCTTCATCATGTTCAAAACCTGATGGGACGAGTTTGCGAGAATCCATCAGTGTGACAGACCTTGAAGAAATCCACTGGTTCCTTGCAACTCTGTGGTTTAAGTCACTAATAGATGTCACTGCTGTTTCCACAGCTGATTGTATGCCCTTCCAAGCAACATCTGGGTCAGCCTCGTCTTCACATCTACCTAAGTGTGACCTCAGTTGTTCCTGGAACCTACTTTTTGTTTTCTCGTTACTCAACTCAGTTCTAACGGGTCTTTTTAATGTGGTTTTTTTGCGTCCAGTGAGGCGCAAGCAGATGCGTGCCCGTATTAGGTCATGGTCGGAGTCCAAGCAGGTACTCCAGAATGAGCGACAATCTTCTACCGACCCTCTCCAACGATGACTGATGGCAATATGGTCTATTTGAGTCCATCGTTGGTTTGGTGTAGGGGGTCGCCATGTTAGACGATGTCTCTCCTTATGCTTAAAATTTGTATTTGCTAAAAATAAACGATTGTCTGAGCATAGCTGCAGCAGACGATCACCATTATCTGTTCGCTGTGTCGGAATACTAAAATATCCACCTAAATGCCTTTCTGTTTGGTTTAAACTGCCTATCTGAGCATTAAAATCACCTGCTACGAGTACTATGTCTGAGCGTTTAGCTTTCTGAAGAAGTTCGGACAGCTTTCTGTAAAATTCATCTTTCACTTCATCTGAGCTGCAGTCAGTGGGAGCGTAGGCAGAAACGACAAAAAGGCAACGACGTGTGTCCCTATCCTTCCGAGTTCTTACGTAGCCGTTCAGCCGAACAGCACATAGACGACTGTTGACGGGGATCCACTCTAGCAGTGCTTGTTCGGCCCTCATGCTTAGTGCTATGCCTACACCTGCCAGTCCACGAGAACTTGCCATCGGGTCACCAGATACACGAAGGGTGTATCTCGTTGGCTCTCCGTTTTGCCGAGGTGAGGTCAAGTGAATAACCACACTGGAATCCTGTATGCGTGTTTCGGAGACACACCACACGTCAATGGTAAGCGACTCTAGGGTTTTAGACAAGGAAGCCTGCTGACCGATTTGACATAGGGTTCGTACGTCGTATGTAAAAACAAGATTCTTATAGATACCACAGAGAATAGTTACTAATCAACGATACTACTATTTCGAATCACTGATTTAGCAAGTTTGCTGATCATTAGAAGCATTTTAATATCAAATCTAAGACATCTAGACAGTGAGTTTTGTAGAAAAATTGTCTTACTAACGGAATGGAAAATCATATATAATGTACATGTGAATAATCACAAGTTGAGTATAAACTGCAACATTGGAGGACTGGGTTCAAGGAAATTAAAATGGATTTCCGGACAAACAAATTTAAAGGGTCATAGATAGTGAAAGTGTTGACTTGTGTTTCGTTTACCTTTGCGGTTGACGACCGAAGTCTTAGAGCAAAATATCTTTAAGAAATGTCTCGGGGAATTCTAGATATCCTTTAAGAAATGTTGTCTCCATCTTATCAGATATGATGAGTGTTATAATAGGAAAATGTATGAGTGGGAAACGCTGTAGCTATACGAGTTAACTGAATTGTCCTGGTGCTATATATCAGTTCCGTCAAACGACGGCAACTCTTATTTTAAGATATAACACCCTGGGTCGCCCAACACAAAAAATGAAACTTTGATATTATCTACTAGTAAGGTTTCACAGAAAAAAGCAATTACGGTGACAAAGGCAACAAGTAACAGGGTAGATATGTGATTTACAGCTCACTTTGGTTAAAAGTAAGCATTCTGTATTGAGGAAAGGAAATAAACGACTTTTCGTAAATATACGAGAACTTAGGTACGTATAATCCTACGTAGACTCGATGTATTAACACAAACCACTAGAAAATTCAAAAGCTTTTCAGTGGCTGAAATTTAGTCCCTACATGGAATGTTGGGCGAGACTCTAATTTAAGGACGACTTTTGAACGAATATTAAGTGACCTTGACAATTATTAGCCAATCAGAAGAAAGTTAGTATAAAGTGAAAATATATTATATGAAAGTAATGAATTACAGTGGATATTCTTCTTTTACATGATTTAAAAACTTGTTAAGGTTTGGTTAAGGTTCAGAGTTTCTGAATCCACAATGCATATGGAACAGAAACTCGTTAGGGTTAGGGTTAGTTGAGGTTTAAGGTTTAGGGTTAGGTGAGGGTTAAGGTTAGGGTTAGTTGAGGGTTAAGGTTTAGATGAGGGTTTAGGGTTAGGGTTAAGGTTAGGGCTAAGGGTTAGAGTTAGGTGAGGGTTAAGGTTAGGATGCTAATATACGAGTTTTTAAATGATGTCAAAGAAGAATATCCACTGTAATTTATTACTTTCTTTTAATATATTTTTACTTTATGCTGTCTTCTGATTGACTAATAATTGAAATTGCTCAAACGCTTCTGATTGGCTCGTCCCTAAATTAGAGTCTCGCCGTCCTATCTGTTGTAACCTCACATTAATCACCTACTCTCTAAAATCCGCTGTGAACCGATCGTATGTTAGCAGCGCGTGTTGAACTTGGCTCCGTGACCTTGAAGTTGCTCAAACGCTTCTGATTGACTCGTCCCTAAATTAGAGTCTCGCCGAATGTTGCTATGTGCAAAAAGCAATAACTTTGTGGAGGACCGATTATAATAGGTCTGTTGTGGTTAGAATACTATTCGAGAATAAAATCTCGTTACTGAAGCGTACATCATTCTGCTGAGATACTGGCGAATCCCCCATGCATTAAGACAAGAGCAGACTTCTCTGTGGAAATACAGCCGTTAAAGGGCAAGGTAAATACCGCAGGCCCCTTCAAATCTAACCGCCGTTTCGTTTCGTTTCAACGACCTTGAAGGGCATACTAGACGCGGGCATTCCGTATTTCAATTGCCGTGGCTGCGTTGAGTCGTATAAGTTTTTTCATATTTAAGTAACCTTCTGCGGCATGAAAAAGCACTAGATAACTGCTAAGAGCATTAACTTCGCATATTCTGTTTTGTAGTGCACACGTTAGTTCTGTTGTTCCTTCGTAACTTGATCTGTGGTCCCAACTGCCGCAGTGAACGTCAACACTTTTATATAATTAGTTGATAAGGTCCAGAAAAAAACGTAAGAAAGATAAGATAACGTAAAAAGTTATAGATACGCATAGTTTTTGTGAGTTAATACGAAATGTCCTATTTAATTGTTGTTCTTCTCTCAGTTATTTTTTTGTAAGGAATAACCTTTTTTAATAACTAATGCGTGTTGTCTGTAGTGCTTCATGCTCAAGTGAAACTTCAGTGGACGTAAGCGACGCGTTTCAACGTATTATGCTGAGCAAGGGATTCGGAAGCTGGATTGAATTTGATAATGCGCTAAAGGATTTCCGGTAGGACTCTAAATTATGGACGAGTCAATCCGAAGCGTTTGAGGAATTTCAAGGTCACAGCGCCAAGTTCAATACAAGGTCCTCACATTCGATCGTTTTACAGCAGATTTTAGAGAAGAGGTGACTTTTCAGCGACTACAACAGATGGGACTATTAGGAAGTTCCTGTATCTGTGACTGCGGCAATCAAATGACTGCAGCACGAAGTGCAGACTACCGTCAGGACATTAGATTTCGTTGTACTATATGTTAGAAGATAAAATCTGCTCGAACTGGCACCTTCATCGCTCGATCACGTCTCAGACTAAGGCAAATCACGATTATTGTTGCAAATTGGATTATGAAGTCAACAGTAATATTGGCTGAGGCTTTCGCAGATGATACAGTAAGTGCAGCCTGGCAGTACGATATATACCGATGATTTGAAAGCGTATAGATTCCTCCATAGACTTGGGTTTGTACACCCTAACCATAACCCTGACCTAACCCCTAACCTTAACCCTAAACCTAAACCCTAACCTTAATCCTAGACCCAAACCTTAACCCTAACTCTAACCCTAAACACTAACCTTGACCCTAACCCCATGCATCATGATTTCAGGACATATGAACCTTTATCTAACCTTAACAAGTTTTTAGATCATGTGAAACAAGAATATTCGCCGAAATTCATAAGTTATTTATAATATGTTTTAACTTTTTGCTAACTCTCTCCTGATTGGCTAATAGTTTCAAGGTCACTTAAAGATTCGTTCAAAGGTCGTCCATAAAATATTGTCCTACCGGATTTCCATAAAGTATGGTAATATAAACCTATGTTTTCTCAGATAACCCACACACACTGTGTTGACGCAGAAAGTAGATTTTTGAAGGTTGTGAGATATAAATACTTGTTCGTGGTGGTTCAAATGGTTCAGATGGTTGTGGACGGAATAGAGGAAGCCTTCGCTTAACAGGCTTCCGTGTCTAGTAGCGGAGGATCACCAAATCCTCCAGGCAGGAACCTAGGTATGTTAACAATAAAACAGGAAAACAAATTAGTAAATCATAGTGTGATCTACACTATCCTTAGTCCTTAGGAATAGATCAAGTTGCCTCGTAAAGGATTCCTGAGAAGTCGCTTGGACTAGCTCGGCCGACAGCGAATTCCAGCATTTGACAACTCTTAAGGAGTAGAAGTTATGTCTACATTCCGTCCTGCTATGTTTTGTTTCCAGTTTCTGGGTGTTACCTCTTAGGTTAGTGTTGGAACTAAGCTTAAGTAGGTGTTTAAGAGGATGTCCAGAAGTGTTAAGGATTCTATAAGCTATCAGAAGATCATCTCTAAGACGTCTATACTCTAATGGGTAGAGGTCTAGTGAACGGAGGCGTTCTTCGTAAGGCTTAGATTTGAGTCCTCGAACTGATTTCGTGGCTCGCCGTTGGATACGCTCAAAAGTGACCTTGTCCTTTTGGAGTGAGGGGGGAGTACTATGTTTCCGTACTCTAAATGGGGACGGATGAAACTATTGAAGATTGTGTGGAAAGTTCTTCCGTCAAACTGGCCAAAAATGCGCCTCAACTTTACCAGTGCAAGGTTTGCTCGGAAGGCATTTTTGTCACAGTTAGCATAAGACTTTAAGTCATGGGGCACCAGGACTCCTAAATCTCTTTCAACTTGGGATACTACTAGAGAGGAGTTTCCTAAGTTGTAACTGTAGTTTGCGACATGTCGCAGATGGACTACTTTACACTTTGAAGTGTTAAAGGTAAGTCCGTTGTCGTCTGCCCAACTTTGAAGTCCAGTCAGATCCTCCTGAAGTGCCTGTGTATCGTCTTGGTTGCGTATCTCTCTCCAAAGTTTCACGTCGTCGGCAAAAAGTAATAAGTCTGACGTTACCTGTTGAGGAAGATCATTTATGTAGATCAAGAAGAGAAGAGGCCCTAGTACTGAGCCCTGGGGGACCCCACCAGGACATTCCATAGCCTGAGATAAAGTGAAATCAACCCTGACCTTAAAAGGTCGATTTTGCAGGTATGAAGTAAGCCAATCGATTAGAGGTGGTTTGATACCTAGTCGTTTGAACTTATCGATAAGACACAATTGGTTAACCTTATCAAAAGCTTTTGAGAAATCAAGGTAAATGATATCAACCTTTCCCTTGCGATCGAGGATGCTTTTCCATCTGTCCACCGCAGTCAGCAGGTTGGTTATACAAGAGTAACCCTTCCTGAAACCATGCTGTTGGGGTGAGAAGAAATTTAAGGACAGTAGATAGTCGTTTAAACCGTCGCATATCAGGGACTCCATGAGTTTTGAAGGTAATGACCGAAGAGCCACCGGCCGATAACTTAAAGGTTCATTGCGTCGACCTCCTTTGAAAATTGATGTGATGTGAGCCAACTTCCAATTTTCCGGTAGTTTGCCTCGGCTTAGCGAGTGTGAAAACATCACGCTAAGCGGCGTTGCCAGGATTGAGGCTGCCTCCCTCAGTATGGCAGGATGAACCATATCCGGGCCAGGAGAAGTATCTAGTCTTAAGTGCTGCAATTTCCGGAACACCAAGTCAGCGCTTAGGTCTACTTCGGAAAGTCCTGTGGAATTGCAGATGAAACTGTCGTCAGTAAAGTTCATGTAAGCCGGTGGAAATGTTTGAGAGTAATGTGCCGCCAGGAGGTTAGCGGCGTCGCCATCGTTGTTGGTCGGGCCGTTAAGACCTAGCAGTTGAGAAACTCCTGTTTTGGCTTGACGAAGAGAGGCTGCATAGCGGAATAGGCTTCTAGGGTTAAAGGCAAATTTGTCCGTTAGCTTTGTCTGGTACTGAAGCCTGTCTTCTCTTATAGCCTTCGTGCATATGTTCCTGATATGTTTATATTGTCTATACGCTCCGTCGTTATCAGTTCGTTTGTATTCCGCCCGACAGTGTCTTTTTCGGCTTAGCAGGCGAAGGGTACGGTTCTTGATTACTGTAGGTGGCTTGCAGCTTTTGGGAACCGTTAGAGGAACTGAATGGTTTGTAGCACATAGTAGCGTATGCAGTAAGAAGTCCTAATGACCGTCCACGTCGAGTTGAGGGTGAACATCCCAAACCACCTGTTGTAGATAGTCATGTAGAGCTGGCAGTTCGTTCCACGTTTGGTCGTAAACGTAAATCAAAAGGTCTTACAGTGAATAAAAATCCGTGAGTACTTTAACTACTGTGTGACATTTATGGTCTAAGTTTTTAAACTGCCAATCGATGTTTCGTATAAGATTGCAGCTCTCTTGTACCAGTATTTATGTGTTCAAATAAAAAATAAGATTGGAGGGTCAAGAATATGTTATAAAATCTTACAATATGTCTCACAACCATCCGTGTAGTAGTTCATGGATGGTTTGTGATCCGTTGAGTGGAAGATTGTCATCAGAAGAAAAAGAACTTGAAGTCAGTAATACTGCACTGTGAGTCAGCAGATGAAGTTATCGAAAGTATCAAGGATAGAACTGGTAAGCAGGTAGCCGCTGCCGATGTCAAAGCTATGAAAGGTGAACTCTCTACTGGTAAGTGTATATAAATATATTTCAGGTTGTTGTACTCGGGAGCACGTAATGAATATGCTGAGACAAAAAGGTGAAGTGAGAGAACATTTAGAAAATGGATATGCCACAAGAATATGTTTCAGTACTTAGGACCAAGTACAGTTGTACAGGAAATATCCAGAAGTTCTGTGCATTGATTCTACGTATAATACTAATAATAAAAAGTGAATATGTTTTTCGTTGTATTCTACTGTGTAGATATTCATAATTCCAGTTAGTGGTGACAGATAATTGGGGTCAAGGACGTACTGTCATGTTTGCGTGGACATGAAAAGAAAAGCGTGCAGATGTGACATGGACTTTAGATAAATTCAAAGAGATAATGGGAAACAAAACAGTGACAGAAACATTTGTGATGGATTGCGCACGATCTCAAGGCGCGGCTTTCCGTATAACACACAGGCATGCAAACACCACTCTGTGCGCATTTCATGTAAATCGCGCTTTCCGGACAAAGGTACACAAATGGTTGCTTACATAAAATTGCCCTTAGACAAAATACTGAAAACCTAATTGATTCGATTGGTAACTGCGGGAACGGTTGGGTGGTAATTTTATTAATGTATTTATTCACTAGATTTAATCAATATTACAGAATAATAAACCGGAGAGACA